TAGCCGATGCTTCTTCACTAATGAGTGACGGCGGCTGGAACAACACCTCAGGGGTACGGAAACGTTCAATTCCAATGACAACGACGTTACCATCTGCCAATTCGTTACTCTTCTCGAGTCATCTCTTGATTAAAGTCCAATGCAATCAGACTTATCGAAACCCGTCTGAGACATCCGAGAAGTAAAACAGTGTGTTAAATACAGTTCCAGCGATCCATCGAAGCTGAATCAACTCCTGCCTGTTTCGTTTGAAGCCATGGCAGGCAATGATGTCAAATTCATGAGCCACGCATATTTGTATATTTAGTATTCCTTGCTTGCAGAAGCAAGAAAAGACAAGAGAGGCCTACATTTGCTCGAAGATGCGTCCGTCTTAACAACCACTCTGTAGCCTGTCGTAAGTGTTGGATGCACAAGGCGACAGCAGCAAAACATGTAGTGTTTTTCTACAGTAGACAACCACTTTGATCGGGACTGAGCTATACACTTATTTTAATTTTTTCCCTTAGAAATGTTGATCGAAAGCAGCCTGTCGGGCATAAGCTTTCTTATCTATGGCTATCCTTAGTTGCAGGCGGTCCAGGTCAAACCGAAGTTTTCAAAGAGTATGCCCGACACATTCCAACACAACCAACAACGTAGCCTACTGTTACGGCACCAATAGATTAGTAGTAGGTTCGCACGCCTTTGACCAATTGTCTTGCATGGCGCAGGCGGCCTGGCTGATATCTGCGACGTGCAATTGTTGTCGCTCGAAGAACAGAGTCAAAGCTTTGCATGATACAGCGCATTTTTATACGATCGTTATGAACGAGTTCAATTTGAAGTATCTCTGATCTCCTCCTACTTTTTGAGCTGTTGCTAGTTTAGCTCAAAATGAATGATAAATGTTCTCCTGTCTTAGACACAAGAACAATTTGGACGGATGTCAGGCTGAAGGTACAACCGATATCAAAGTAAAATCATCTTTTCAAACACAGCCGTGGACATGAAAGATCTTCACGGGATACTAGTATTGCGGCATGGAAATACAGTGCGGTACTTATACTACGCAAGTGGAACAGGAGAGCTCACACCTGCAAACTGGGCTGTGCGTGTTCACAACGTATAACGGTGACTGGCGACAGCGACTCGGCTTGCAACAAGCGTCGAGAACGCTAGAAAGTCAGCACGGTGAAGGTGCGTAGCAGACAGCAGCTTTACAGTATACGCCCATCAATTTATGTGTTCATAGGAAAGAGCGTTACCGCGTACCGTATGCCACTGATCAGGAGATTGGACCTTTTCGGCTAACAGTGCAAGCAGAGTGCGCACCAGGACTACCCATGGTGATCGAGGAACAGCTAACCCGACGCCACCCAGACGAGGTGGTCGCATACGCAGCTGTGTGGAAACGCATATGGCACATTCAGAGCAGCGTTTGCATCATTAGCTTATGGATACATCGAAAATGAGTGACGTTCCAACAAGCGAACGTGGCCATCACCGATAGCGTTCATGAATTGTGGGATCCCCAGCATGAGACAATTTCGATCCGTTGCGAAACGAGAGTGCCAGCGAATGACACAAAAGTACAAGGAATCCGTCTGATGCTGTGTCAACGTGCCATAGCCAGACAAACTCGAGAGCCGGGGCTTGAACAAGTACCGGCGTTGCTAACCAGGATTACAATGTACCGCAACAATCCCCGTATATAGCACACATGTTAAGAAACAGCGTCTTTCTTTTCCCTGTCTCTCTCTACCAAAACGACGGATAATGTACCGTATCTACGATAGAACTGGGGGGGGCACCTCCACTCCAGTCACTTCACAGTTCCCCCTTCTCATTATTGAACTCGGTCGCTAGACCCCAACTCAAGCACGTCTACCCAACCAAACCATGCGCCTTCCCTGTGTCCCATATTATTGGCTGTTGCGACCCGTCCAGTCGATGTTGGAGCACGTATAGAGCCGTCGGACGTCGTCACCACAGATGGTCAAGTTGGGATCCGGAAACACTTGAGGGTTCAAGAGCGCACACACGACGAAGACGAAGAAGAAAGGATGAAGGTCAACTTTGGCGTAGAAGCCTATATTTCAAAGAGCAAATTTCCTACAACTTTTAGCGAATTGAGGCCACACGATATAACGGCGGGTGCCCAAGACACGATTCATCCCAATGAGAGGGTTAACTTGGAAGCAGACCAGAATGGTAAACTCGCGCTTCGAGCCATTCTTTCCAGGTATGAACAGAACGCGCTGCCCATGATCCGTAAACAATTGAACAATCGCCTTGCTGAATCGAGTGAAAACCTCCAGAATTTATTCTACAACCATAGGCTTAAGTTAGCAGGAGACAATCTTTTCCGACATCCATTGCTGGCCGATTGGGTCCAGTACGTGGATAAATTTAACGCTGGCTTGCTTTATGAACTGCATAAGTTTTATACTATCGACGATCTGGTGGTCGCTGTGACCAGGGCCCCAGAAGACAAAGTCGCGTTGCGAGTGGAATCCGAAATTGACAAACTCTGGCTTGATGAAAATAAAACGCCTGATGCTATTTTTACTCAGTTTAGGCTTCACAAGGCCGAAGACACCCTCTTCGACAACCAACTATTCCCCTTTTGGGAGAGATACTATACCTACTACAATTCTATGGTACCTGAGACATTTAAAGCATCGATGTACTTAATAGTGGGGAAACATTTAAGGTCGTTTAGGGAGAAGCTGTTGGACAAGAAAAAAACTGATGTCACCTCGCTTTTCGAAGAAGAAATAAAAAAATTACAGCTGGAGGTCTGGACTTTGGACGGCACATTGGACGATATTGTGCGTCACGAAGTGGAGTCAGGACCGAAGTCTGATACGGTGTATGGAAGTGCGCTAAAAAATGCTGCAGATGAATATCTTCCAAAGAATCCGTAGGTGGAGATCATTCGGGACTACATGGGCAACAGGTCGCTAGTCCCAGTGAAGCTGCTGATTCCGATTTGTGCGCATAGTCTTCGGACATCGGAGAACTTTGGTGGGTTCGCTGCTTCACAAGCCTTGACCAGTCATCATAGGGACCTATCAATAATTTTAACACGTTTCCGACGTCATTGAGTCTTGTTGGTATATTGTTCTGTAGTAGTGTCAAGGTGAACAGTGGATGGTCACCCAACTTCACGGCTGTATTATTTTTCAAGGCAATTGAAAAGCTATTAGAAGCTGCATACATTTACAATTAGTACATGTACTTCCGACCGAATAGTAAGGAGATTAAATAAGATGCTGCATCCATGTGCATCGAGAATAAACCTAAATAGTCTCTTGTCTGCAGTCAATGTATCATTATACACAAGATAGCGTACCGAGTCGAGCAATTTCTAGCGTATTAGGCGGCGTAGAAGTGATACTACCAGCCCTAACGCGAAGTGCCTGAGCCATCACAAAGGGTATGACAAGGGCAGATCCGAGCTCACAAGCGGACCAGCCACGGCTGACAGATGCTACATTCGCCGGACAAGTTCGTCCGCGATGTCGCACAGGAGCTGGTCGGCAGGTGTCTGATGCACTTCGTCCTCGACCCTGGCAACTGCTATGGCTGCGTAGCAGACGCTCTCCAGCTCCAATCGAACCCCGTGTCGACTTGTCGCCGTACGCTTGCCAGAAGTACAAATCGGGCGACATCGGTCCCGACATATAGACCCTTTGCCGCTCAATAGAGATGACCCACATCGAGGTTGGAATGAAAGTAGAGACGATGCTACGGCTTATGGCACCCGCGCTCAGCCATAAAGACATTACGCGCTAGCTCAGCACATCAAGCTGACGGAGCCCCGACCGCGAATAACGCTTACTATACAGCGTGATATGGTGCGCGCCTTTGGTGGTGCTGGCTGCTCTTTCGTGTGGCGCGGCGGTACACAGAATCCCGCTTCGCGCTACCGCCGAGCGTGGATCTGGTAACAACTCCAACGCTTCGGCGCCGGAATAAAATGCAGCGACTAGACGTCTCGCCACCTGTGCTGCAACCATGATGTGATGTTGCCACACGTGCTGCAGCACTGCCCTGACAACTCCCGTGCCATTGACGGCCGCCATGATCAGTGGTTCTTGTAATGATTAAAATGGCGATGAGTTTCCTCTGTCCAAGCCGGGCAGCCAGCTGATGCCACGCTTCGACGCACATGTTGAAAGCTTCACCAACCGCGATTCTACCCGACAATCAGCTCTTCGATGCTACCACGCTGTTAGAAGAAGCTGTCATCGAGTGTTGCAGTGGAATAAACCTTTTCTTTTTCAGTCAATTCTATTGCAGCAAAGCGCGCAGGTCAGCTAGTGGAACGAAACCGATATCACCCTTGTCCACCGATCCGTGCAACAGCGCCAAGTTCCCTCTACTTCGCGTAGGCTGAGCGCCAGCGCCGAGTCTACGCTGTGGTACAGTAGGTAGTCCGTTTTTAGGTTCACATACGCCTTGATGGTCTCGATTGTATCGATGCGGAAACTGGAACATACCAGCCACCCATACGCTTCATATCTTGTGGCATCGGTACATGGAACCGCATTGCTGAGCGTGGCTAAAGCTGTCCCCATCTATCTCTTGCAGATCTTGAGCGACGGTATAACGCCCACGATTATTTCCATCAAAAGCTTGGTAAGCGCGATAAAATGGATTACAGGAACATGTAATTGTCTGGATGCACTTCAAGAATCATTGACCTGCATCACAGAGCGCACAGCCATCGAAAAGATTGTGTAATTGTCCTTTTCACACAGACAATTAAACTCACTCATGCTTCGTAGAGCGGAACAATTAGATGCCGTCGATATGTAGTAAAGCGCAAATTGGCTCCCACTGTAGCAAGTCCAAATCTAGCAATTGCCATCGAAACTCCACCGGTCTCAACGCCACTCGATCACCAAGATACTTGAGCCGACCACAATAGATATAAGGGCCCTATGCAAAACATCAAACAGGAATCAACTGAACTGAGCAAGGTCCATCCACCTAAAACGTCAAGTTGTCACAAGAACCTTTCAATACCTGAAGATACCGATGGGGATGGGTAGCAACGGTTTCTTCTTTTTCTCATGTGCATTGTCATAAGACGCATGAAATTTCAAGTTCTCGTCTCCTTTCTTCATTCCTTTTAATCTCACTAATAACGGTGACTCGTCATGTCATTGAGTTTGTCCGAACCATTGAAAATTCATTACTTCATATCCATTGACCATGTCTTTTTGATGAAAAAAATTTGTCATAACGTGACTCATTATCGACGTTTCTATACAAAACCACTGTATTTTTTTACGGCTGGACGTCACTCATTTCGGAAACTTTAGTGACAAAACCCGACGGACACAGCTTTTGCATGACCGTCTGTTTACCCTGAGGCAACATTTGCATTCCCAGAAATTTCGAATGAAATTCCTGACACTGAATTTCAATCTGAGAACGTGAGACATGCTGTTTCTTGTCTTTAGAAATGGGTTGTTGACTTATAAAAATGGGTAATGGGTAGAGGTGGTACCCAGACTCAGACTCAGTGGGTAATTACCCGTACCCAGACTCATATTTTGGGTATGGGTAATTGGCCTCAATTAACCAACTTACCCATGGGTACCCATGGGTAAATGTACCAAATTTTTGGGACATACATCAGACACACCTACTCGTATTAATTTCTAAAACTGTTTAATGTATTAATGACTCATTACGCCTTTTTTGATGAAAGTCTACCGCACATATGATGCAAAGCAACTGGAGCCGGTGGCGCAGGCCATGCTAAGCAAACTCAAGAAATATATATCAAGCTGGCGTTTAAACAAGATGCAAACTTCTTTGCAACGGTGTTAGATCCAAGATGGAATATTAGCTGGTTCAAAAACCTCGACGAAGGGCCAAAGCAATTTTGGGCTCTTGGCCATAGCCCACAAGCATATTGAGTTGCTTTTTGTGGGTGCAGCATACAGTCATCAGAAGTCATAAGAAGAAATTCCGCCTCCGCCACCTGTCAACATTTGTAACGACAAGAGCGATGACGACATGAAGCCACACGTCTTCGCATTTGCTGAAGGCAGAGTTCTACAGATCGCAGTGAGCAAAGTCGAGGAAAAAGCTCAAACTTATTTTGCTCTTTCGCCTGTTCACATACACTAATTGCCATTGGAGTGGTGAGCACTGCATCAGCTGCAATTCCCAACACTTGCAAGAATGGCAAGATTTTATCTGGCCATCCCCGCGTCTTCAACTCCGTCTGAGAGAGGTTTCTCTCAAGGTAGAAATACTTACAGGTAGAACAGAACTTCGCTTTCCCCTAAAAGCTTGGAGAGGCTTCTGTGCCTCAAGGATTGGATAATGACACAGGGTCACGTTTTTTTTGTCGGCAAGGGACTAGTGTTTTCCTTTGTCAGCTCGCTTGAGTTTTCCAGTGGGAGACGTAGAGTGTGGATACTTTTATTACCAATTTTCATTATGCTTTTCTCCCTTTCATATTTTTTAATAGTCCGCATGTTTATTGCGCGGGTAACATGGGTAATTACCCGCGGGTATGAGTCCAAGTCGTGGGTAATGAAATTTGAATGAGTCTGAGTCGTGGGTAAACGCAATTACCCAACCCAGACTCATGGGTACCACCTTTAGTAATGGGCAACTCGCAAAACTCAGGCAGTTTCGTTTTTGTTCGCTGGTTAGGGTTGTAGACTAAAAGGTTGCTTTTTGTCACTCGCTCAGCTTGTGTTCCTTTGTGTAGCCATTTCTAAATTACAAGTCAAATCGATTGCAAGTGTTTTTTCTTAACATTTACGAGTCATTTCTATGGGTCCCCTCAATTTCTAAAAAAAAACGATTTCTATTGACCAATTATCATGAAAGACACGACAATCAAGCCATCGTCCACAGCCCGACGGATGCTACGGCGTCTTTGCAACTACATAACGTCTCATTATTTTTCTTTATGGTGTGTAATAAACTCTCCTTCTCTTCTTCTTCTTTCTTTTCCTGTCCTTTTTACTGTAATAATCCACCTAGTAATCAAGATATTGTCCTGACTTTCTATTGTGATTTTCTTGTTTCTATTGTCATTATCAGCTGGGGAATGTACATTCTGGGACTCCTTTGGTTCTTTTTACATCCTGCAGTCACTCTTACAACCGGTAAGAACCAGTAAAATCACGGTTTTAACATTTAAAACATGAGTAAAATTGTTACAACACGTTTATACTAAAATTTAATCTCCTTTTTGTAGGCGAATTAAAATGTCGAGGGACTTACATGTCGGAGAATGCACTACTAATTGACCTTATGGAGGCAAAAATGAATGATCAAGAGACTCATTTAGCTCAAGAATTGCATCAAAATTTACTTACGTTGCCAGAATTAAAATTAAGAGGCTGCCAAGACAATTGCTCGGCTGTTATCGACTGGATTGATACGCAATTACGTCGTGTAAATCGTGCTGAAACTTATCATCAAGTGGTGCAGATCGATGGACTTTCTACTCCACGTACAAATGTTTATGGCATTTTACGAGCCTCACCATTGGCTGATGGCAAGGTGCACGATGTTAATGTGGGAATTGAAGTTGTTGTAAATGGCTAAAAAGCTGATTGTTTTGTAGGAAACAATTGTCTTGGTGACCCATTATCGAAATGTTGGTGCTGCTAGTGGTGACTATTCTGGTTTATCGATGGGATTGGCGTTACTTAAGTATCTTGCAAGAGTAAAATGGTTAGCTAAAGATGTTATTCTTTTGGCTGCTGACGGTGAGATGAATTGGAGGGTTCTATACATTTTGAGGTAGAAGGATTAAATTTTGATATGCGATAGATGGTGCTTTGGATGGAAGTGACGGATACGCACCTGGGACAGAAGCTTGGTTGCAAGCGTACCATCTGGATCATGTCCAAACCCGCGGTTTGCAAGACGGATTGCCTATGCGTGCTGGTATCATTCGTGCTGCGATCAATCTGGAAACAATGTTCGACTCGCATCAGGTGGGAGCAGTCGGGATTTACGCAGCTGGTATGAATGGTCAGCTTCCAAATCTGGATCTTGTCAACACTGCAGTACGTGCATTCCGCAAACACAAAATTCCTACAATTTTGGATCGTGCTGATGTGCAACAAATCAGTGAACACAAACCCAAGAGCTACATCTCATCTGTGATCACTTCAATAACAAGCTTAAGCGAGAAGTACGTTCCGGAAGAGTTGAAGCAAGGCACATTCAACTACCTGACGAACCTCAAGGGCATGCTGAATTTCATGACAACGTTAGCGTCTGGTCCATCAGGTCCCCACGCTAACTTCATCAGCTACAATATCGACAGTATCACTCTTTCGCTGACAACGAAGCTGTCTTTAGGCGACCGGCAACTTTCTACCCGCGAGGTACTCAGGTCACTTGAGATGGTGATTCGTGCACTTAGCAACTTGGAGGAGAAACTACATCAGTCATTTTATCTCTATGTCCTTCCAAGTACGACAACTTTTGTATCGGTGGGTGAATACTTTTACGCAGTGGCTTTAACGATCTCGCCTGCGATCGTTCATCTGCTCTATTTGGCGAATCAGACAACTGGGATGCGCGTTGCGTTCGCGCTGGCTGTATTTTTCACGATTGAAACACTCTGCGTGCTCCTTCTAGCTATGGTCTGCCATTATTTTGCCACTCCCACAGCGTTGCTGCAAACATTCAGTCCAAGCGATGTGTCTGCTACACGGTGGTTGGCCCTTGCAGTTGCAATTTCCGTCGTACAAGCTTTGGTCATTGTGATCATAATGCCTGCACTACGTTCTGTGACGGGCTTTTCGGGTTGTGTGGAAAGTTACGCTTGGAGAACGCAAGTCATGACGTACGAAGCTGAGCAGCAAAAGAGTCTGTCGCAAGAATTTGAATCGATTGCCGTCGATGCGAAGAAGCGAGAGTTCCGGAACGACATTCCAGACTTGGATTCAGGCTGGCGCGCCATCAAGTTCATCACTATGGCGGTACTCGTGTACGTTGTGTGTTGATGTATCGATAAGCGGAATTTTCTGTTGCATTGGATGTCTGCGAGGGCACAACTGACTTTTACTCTGGTATGTGTGCCAGGTACTCGCATTGTATTTTGGGTATCTTAAATTATCCGATGGCTCTCTTCGGCGCAATTCCAATGACCCACTTTGCCAGTGTGATTCCTTTCACCACTGCAACACGAGCGAGAAATACCTGGAGCTGTTTCTGGCTCTTTTTATCGTCTCCACTCGTTCTCGTTGTTTTGTTGAACTGGAGTCGTCTAGGTACGCGCTAACGTACTAATCTGACAGTAGTGCAATTACTAATCCTGACTACCTTGTTGTGATGCAGCAGACGTGATCGCTGGTTTGTCATATGCTGTTGACAGCTTTGTCCAGCGTACGAATCTGCTAGCATTGCCGTATGTTTGCTGTATCTACACATCCATCCACACGCTATCGCTAGTAATTTGGGTGTATCCTGCTCCGCAGAACATCTCATCTTCCGAGAAAAAGGTGAAACAAGAATAAGGAAACTTGATCGACTTTCAGGGATGTCCGAGATGTGCAAACCCGCTCTAGTTTTTCGTCGGACAAAACGAAGATAATTACCAGCTTGGACAACTCGACTCCGACGTGCTTGAATTATCAACGCTGTAACGGAGACCGACCGTACACTTTGATCGTCATGCAATCGCTGAATGATATCGTGCATTGACCATACCATTGCAGAAATCAAGGATGACAACACTACAAACATTGACGTTTTTCTACAATGCAGACCAAGTGGTTTTATTTTACACTAACAAATGGATCTTGCTACAATAACGTTCACGTCAGTAGAAGCTACTTATAGTTCGCGAATGTTACACCGGTGATGATGACACGCGACAACAGCAGCCACAAAAATCATGCAGGAGACTTAATACATACTTCGTCTCTCCACATGACTGCGCGACACATCACCAACCGACTCACGTCTAATCAAAGGTCACGAGGTGCGAGTCCATGCTGCTCAGAGCAATGGCAAAGGCTTGCACTGGAGTGAATGGGTGGGCATAGTCCATTGAATACACTTGGCGGTCTTGTGTACGGCCGAAAAGCATAAGTGTTTTTTCCATATCGTCCGGGTGCGAAAGCAGAAAATTCTTGACAGAGGCAGCTGCTACACGACCGCCAAAGTCCAGGCAATAGGCCTCGAGCGATTCAATCCACACAGGCGGTTTGTTAATCAGGTGCAATGCGCGAGTAGTGTCTGGGTTATCTACCTGTGAGAGAATTGTGTCCTCCTTGGTCTCGGGGCTCCACGGCTGCACTGCCCATGACGGAGCGCCATCGACAGCACTGTCGACACCAGGAACAGCTCCCACAAGTGGCAGCGCAACGCGCATCTGACGCGGTGACTTGCCAAACGTGGCTGCATACTGCACAGCGCCCAGTTCGAGTGGAACTTCACCTGTCGTGTCATACATTGTGTACTGGGAGCCCATGTAATTCTTGTCTAGTCTTGCTACCGGTACCGCTGCATTCATTGAATAAGCACCGACTGTATCCATCTGGTTGCCTGCCGAGCACAAATTCGTCGCCAATGAGATGATAAAACTCACCGACATGTCGTACTGCCGTCGACGGACTGCCGTGCACAATAGCGTGTCCGTGTCCTGTGTATACAGTTCGTATGAGCCTCCACCGCGTGTACGAATATAGCACTGCATCATCAGAGCTTGTGGAGGCGACGAAGCCATTAGAAACCTCGCCAAAAAAGCGGTATTAAGTCTTGCCGTAGAAATCAGGAGCTGACGGAGCGCTACATCTGCTGGTGGAGGAGGTTCCACGGGAGCTTGGTCACAGACACTCATATGATGGCCTAAACTAGCTTTCTTCATGTTTTCCGAGCAGTAAAGACAACTCACCTTCATTTCATTCGCCATCCTCTGTGCATGTCGGGATGCTGCCAAGAGCGAAAACCCAATGGTTTCTCGACACATGGGACACGAACCTCTCTCACTGACCCATCGTTCAATGCAATCTTTGCAAAAAATCTGTCCACAACATGTGGCTTCCGTTGCATGAGTAAAAACTTCTTGACAAATTGCACACTCGAGCATTTTCCGGGTATTTTCCAATGCTTCCAATTCTTCATCTCGTGGAAGCGGGTCGACGATTGGGTACGTTACTGTACTGACCAATTTACTGGCCGCTAAAGCTGATGCAGCTGTTCGTTGTCCCAAATGACGACTCTTGAGTGCCGAATGAATTTCAAACAGTCGATCAACAACTTGCCCGACATTATGAGGGGTCGTTGTGACAATTGGTTCAACGTCTGGTTCAATTTCGGCTTCCGGCTCGTCCTCCATGTCCATGTGGTTATGCTGTTGAAGAGGTTCATGAAAAAACCCACTTGGGTGAGAGAGTTCTTCCTGAATGGATGAAAAACCCATGGAATGACGATCAGCCAGTGGATAAAATCCTCGATTTCGACTGCTGCTGCTGTCCAAAAGGTCTACGAGACCTTCACCTTGTGCAAAAAAGCTCGAGACTTCAATATCCATGTCAAATCGTTTGTGACGAGGTCGTATCCGTGGACTAGTGCAAGGTGAGAGGAGAATAAGTTCCGATAAAGTACGTGTCCGATGCATTTTATTACTGTGCTTGAGCTCCGTCACGACACGTAGACGACGTTGTGCAAAGTGTGATGCAGTGCTAATGGGTACAGCACAGACATCACTTGTACTACTACTAGGACTTGGTTCACCCGTGGAGAGACTCGGTGTAGGTACATAGAGAGTAGAAGATGCCATATTGGGTGATGTGAGTGGTAGTGATGGGATATTATCCAGGATAATTGGGAAAAGACGAACTTAACGAGCAGACAGTGGAGTGATGGTCACTGGTTATTTGCTTGAGGCGAAATTCGCAAATGCCTCAGTCGTTTGAAGGTTTGTGGCATTTTGTGTGTGGTTGTGGTACAGAATCAGGTAAAACAAAAGGTACTTCTATTTCGCTTGAAACCGGTATAGTGGAGTACAATGAAGATTCAATTACCCTTTCCCTCCCTTCCCCCTTCCCTGTGATTGCCGTCCTCGTAAGTGTAAAATCCCGTCTCTTCCAAGACGACCGAGCTGAACCGAGCCACTAGGATTTGTATGAGAAAAGGTATGCAAAGGTACGGATTGTTGAATGGTGACACACTGCCAGGTGGCCGACCATGCATGGCCAAGTCAAAGAGAGCCAATTATCTGCTGCTTGCAGCGATTCGGGCACTATCTCCAGATGGTGATGCTTTCTGTTCCTAAATGTACGTTCAATGCTTCCATTGACATCGAAATCGACGGTTTCAACACACTGAACGGACGGGTAACAGCAATGGACGGCACCATTGAAGGAACTGAAACAACTGCAGCGAGAAATAACGCTTGTAACTGTCTTTTTGTAATGCACTCGAATCCTTATCACAGCTGGAAACTCATCCTCTCCATCAATATGCCCTTTTACGACTGATAACAGAATACAAGTGAGGTTCCATAGTATCAGAAAAAAAAGTAGTGGTGTCCACACGAAAAATGGTAGAGGGGAGGTTCAAAAAAAGAATAAAAGAAACAAATCAGCCGGATATAATGTCGTGTCCCTATCAAAAGGTCGTGTCCAATATTCGACAATCTACTTAACCACCTTTAACTCGTTTTATCACAGCTTGATGCATATCTTGTGGTGTAAGAGCCATACGACCACGCCATAGCTCATACACTTGTAATGGATCCTCGTCATTCATAGCATCGAGCATTTTCTTTGCCTTGTTTTTATCATTCAGGAGACCAAACCAGTCGCCACTTGGGTACACAATGCAGGATGCTGCATAGCGGTGACCTCCATAATGACTGGATGTCCACAAGTTTAATGGTTTCTTACCATTTGATGCCAACTCTTTTAACCACTGCAGCAATTCCGGACCTTTGCATCCACAACGCTCATCTCTGTAGTCACAACGGTAGTATTAGTGAGGCCCATTAAGTTTACCTTCTAACAATGAAATTGTTGCTTACCGTGCAGCATGACCGCATACCATCATGTAATAGCCTTCCTCCATACGCGTGTATTGCAAGTTTCTACCATCACAACAGTTCAACATTCAAAGGTCCAATCTCTTTGTGATTACTACAAGTTCAGTGTACATGTTCACGCACTTTCGTTCCAGGAACGCAACGAGGTCAAAGTCTTTCTCCAAAGCCTTGCTCACCAGCTTAGAAACTGTCGACGTTACCACACGATGATCAGACAACCCATTAGCTGCAATTTGCATGAACAAACAAAGAAGTTCACTTACTCTGCGAAGGAATGACATTGTGGACCCGAAGAGCATCAGGAAACACGAGAACATCGTGTGCACCTTCTTGTACACTCTTTACAGACTTTTCTGCTTCATCTTGCAGTCCACCACTGTACATGCTCATATATGGAATGGCTGCCGTCATAAGTAACGGACTCTTTCTCGCCTTAACAATGTCGCCATCGTAGAGCTTTAATAACGCACTCATATACGAGCTTAGAATGTGTTCCGGTGTCTGCTCAAGATTGGGTGGCCACGAGTTCGGGTCTGTGCTCCGGGACTCCACAATCACATAATGACGGTGATAGTACCGCACTGAGCCTTCAATAAACAATGCAACGCTCTTCTCTTCCTTTACGTCGTCTTTATTGACAAATTTACGTTTGACTCGCTTGGCACGACGCTCTGCCATCTCGACAAGAGTCAATCGTTTACCCATCTCCGGTGGACTCGAGGAACTGAAGAATACGATGCATTGACGAATGCACTGATGCTGGAAAACGTGTCGAGAGTTACTGGACATGACGACGCGGGTGGCGAGAAACTTGGCAAGAGAATGCATGACTCAGGAGGTTATTTAAAATGGAATGACACAACTTTGAGATGATACGTATTGGGACGTGAAGAGCGAATCTAACCGAAATGTTAAGCATAGATTGTGATGTTTTTCTTAACTTGTAGCTTAGACATTTCGACGTATGACAGACCTGACTAGAGATATGCAGTTGCCTCACGAAAAACATGCAACTCACAACCTCTGCTACACACAGACCAACGTAACAGCACAGATAGATTGTTGATGAAGGTGATACTAACGGTCTGCGCTTTCACTACCTGCTGAATTGTGCTGAATGATGTGGCTACGAAAGAGACACGAACTATATGGTGTTGTTGGTATATGTCAACCAGCTTCCACGCGTACCAAGCACGTCATCGAAAGAGAGTGTGTAGACGGCTAATAAGCAGATCCCGAATTCCATCTGCTGTTGTAATCGAGATGTACCTGCCGTCAAAGTATAATTCTCTCTTCTAACATACAGTAGTCCATCGTGCCAACAAGCTTGTTTTGCACCAAAAGACAAGGTTGGGTACCTAACTAGAGCCGCAAATGAAGATGGTCTAATGTAGCAGCACTGCCGACCACGCACTTGTCCAAGTCGCGCGCTTCGACGGACTGGGAACAGGACAAGTGGACCGAGAGGGGATGATTTTATGTCGCTATAATGTTAACCATTATGAGTGTGCTTTACGTCTCATGACATCCGTTTCTAAACCAACGTTTTCTGCCAATGTTTTTTTCTCTCTTCTATTTTTCGATCATTTTCTGTATCTTCTTCTTTGGTCTCGTCATAGTATGATACTGACATTTTAACTCAGCACCAATAATACCAGCTGATATGAAACCCTCAAAAATCTGATTCCGTTTAACTTTCGATAAAAAGACAGCTGCAAACCCATTTTTTCATTCCCATTTCTGGGCTAAAAACATATCACTTTACCCAAATCGCCGTCATGGAGTCAATGACACGCGTCATCCATCGCATTTGGCATTTTTTTGTTCAGGGGTACCTTACACCATACGTTTGTATACTATACAGAACCACCTACAGATCTTCTACTCGATCTTTGAAGTAGCGTGTATCATTTTTCACAGGGATCCCTCCGCATTTTCACGATTCCTCCTCATTCTTCAAAATGCCTCGAAAGCAGCAAGACGATTCCATCCCTTTAATTGGTCGTGCCCGTAGCAGCGGACGGGGACGTGGTCAAAGCACCAGAGGTCGTGGCCGTGGACGTGGAGGCCCTGCTCCTACCGCATCCAGTGCTACCATCGAACCATCTGGATCGTCTCCAGCGCCGTCTAGTGTTGCTTCTTCTCTCGCCAGTGTCGAGTCACTTGCGTTGCAGCTTGAGGAAAAGACGCATGTATCCGACACTCCGCAGCTCGTGCCGTCGCTCGTGCAGACGCATTTTCCCTCTCGTCCTGGTTTTGGCAAACTTGGCAAACCTGTGAAACTTTATGCAAATCATTTCAAAGTGAAATTTAATTTGACTGGTGATGTGTATCATTATGACGTGACGTTTGCAGAAAACGGACGGAGTTTTGGGAATGATGGTCCTCCCAAAGCGTTAGCCATGAAGATTATGAAGTCCCTTATGGCGGAACTGGAACGTCAATTTCCCACTGTAAAAGTCGTCTCGGATGCTCGAAAGAACATTTATGCACCCACAAGACTGCCTTTTGAACGTCAGGAGTTTAAAGACTTGAAATTACCTGATGATGGAGGAAAAGCAAAGGAGTTTTCAGCTATTGTAAAGGAAGCCGACCCTGTAGCCATTCGGATGCAGCAATTAGAAGAATTGTTTGCTGGACGGTTGAATTATACACCCTATGATGCCTTACAAGCACTGGATGTGGCTTTACGTCATTCGGCATCCAAGAAGTTTACTGTGATTGGTAGGAATTTGTTTCATGGCAATGGAGCTACATCACTTGGAGAAGGAGCAGAGCTTTGGTTTGGCTATTTTCAAAGCTTACGAGCAACACAGAATAGACTGGTTGTGAATCTCGACTTGGCTGCTACAGCTTTTGTCGAAGAGATGTCTGTAGTTGATTTTGTATGCACGACACTGTCGATGCGACAGATGCCAACGACATTGGCCAAGTACCAGCATTCAGCATTCAGTAAAGCTATTCGAGGTGTTAAAGTGAATATCACGCATCGTCCAGGAGTGAAACGTAGCTATCGTGTCAATGGCTTGTCAAAAGAGAGTGCCGACAAGACGTTCTTTGAGAATGACGACGGACAGAGAATGTCGATTGTCCAGTATTTCCAGAAGACGTACAATATCCGTCTTCGGTACCCAAGCCTGCCGTGTCTACATGTTGGTGCACCTCAGAAGAAAAACTATTTGCCAATAGAAGTGTGTCATATCATGGCTGGACAAAAGTGTCCCCGTAAAGTTACGGACAAACAAGTGGCTAATATGATCAAGTTCACTTGCACGCCACCAGACAAGCGTAAACGTGCAATCGAGCAGAAATTCCGAGAGGCGGGATTCAATACGGACCCAACGCTTCGAGCATTTGGACTAGATGTCGACCCGAGAATGGTGGAGACGACTGGCCGCCAGCTGCCACCTCCGACGATTGAGTACAGTGGAGGCGCTCGTGAGAGCCCTCGTGATGGAGCTTGGAACATGCGTGGCAAGCGGTTCAATACGCCTGCGCAGTGCAAGTCGTGGGCCGTCATCAGTATGTGTGACCCGAAACGTTGCAGTCTTGGTGAAATCCAAAAGTTTTTCAAGGCAGTAATTGCTCAGATGGGCCAACTGGGAATGCGGTGTCCTTCAACGTTGCCGCCGATCTTGCTCAAGTCGAACCGAGGCGATTCAGTACGTGGGTTGTTTCAAGCCGCAGTGAAGGCTGCAAACCAAGCGTTCAAGACACCGCCACAAATCGTGTGGATGATCAATCCGATGGCCGATGCACAAGCTTATGGCGGGCTCAAATTGATGTCTGATACGGAAGCTGGGATGGGGATTGTGTCACAGTGCATGCTTTCGAAGCATATCCCAAAGTGCAATCCACAGTACATTGCCAACATCTTGATGAAGGTGAACACAAAGTTGGGTGGGAAGAACGGTGTCATTAGTGGTCCACTGCCGTGTGTTTCGGCATCACGCACCATCATCTTTGGAGCCGACGTCACTCACCCCAGCCCGATGGACCGGACGCGTCCGTCTATTGCTGCTGTTACGGCGTCGATGGATGCAAACTTCATCCGTCACGCATCGGCAATCCGCGCGCAAGGTCATCGAGTGGAACAAATAACGCATTTGAAAGACATGACGATCGAGCTCCTGAAGCAGTTCTATCATCAGACACACGGCAAGCCTGATCGTATCGTGTTTTACCGCGACGGTGTGAGCGAAGGACAGTTCCACATGGTGCTGAATTATGAGGTGACGGCTATCCGTGAAGCGTGCCAGGCTCTGGAGGTTGGCTATATGCCGCCTATCACGTTTGTTATTGTTCAGAAGAGACACAATACGCGCTTTTTCCCTGACAATTCGAGAGATGCTGACCGCAGTGGCAACGTGAAGGCGGGAACTGTAGTGGATACGGGCGTTTGTCATCCCATTGAGAACGACTTCTATCTGATGAGCCACGCTGGACTGCAAGGTACCAGTCGTCCTACGCACTACCATGTGCTTTTGAATGAGATTGAGTTCACAGCCGACGAGCTGCAGACGCTGACATACAAGCTTTGTTACACGTTTGCGCGCTGCACTCGGTCTGTATCGATGGTGCCGTCGGCATACTACTCGCACCTGGTCGCGTTCCGTGCTCGTTTCTTCTTGGTGGATGGGAGCGACACTGCTTCAAGCGTTTCTGGTGTTAGTAATACCTCTCAGGATACGGACACCCGCATGTACGACGTCCACCCAGCCATGAAGAGCGCAATGTACTTTGTGTAAAACTGCGTTGATGAGTCGTGGTCGAATTCATGTGCGATGCGGAAGGTAAGTTGTTTGAAGTGGCTTTTCTCAATGAGTCTCTAGTTTGTCTTTCCGCCATGGACGGGACGCGAGTCAAGTCTTGCTCATGACAAATGATGTATTTGATCTGGAGAAGATTCAAGGAAATGCGTTTAGGCTTGTTCCTGAATTAGCTTGAAAGCTATTAAAGGCAGGAGCAAATATATTTTTGCTGTTTTTCTTATTCAACACTTGGCTTCTGTTTAAAACTTTGTTGCATACAACTCTTGTGTTAACAGCTTCCAAGGCTATTATTAATTTTGAGAACAATAAAATACACAAGTGATCTAAAACCTTTACCTAAAATATTGCTGCCTTATCTGATAACTTCTACTCCACTTTAACCTGATAAATTGTCTTAGCTGCTAGATGTAATTGTATCACTTTAGACAAGGTCTTCTGTAGTACTATTATGCATTATGAAAGGCCACCCCGATAACAAGCATTTAATCTAAAAAATATAAATTTTCTTTTTTAAGCCCATTATATTATTGATACTCATCTTACTATTTGACACTCATACCACCTCTTCAATAAGGTTGTAGAAAAGTTTTGCATACTCAAATGACTACCATCAAGTACAATACCTACCAAACGTTATAAACGCTTTGCGTTCTTGCTAGCTGTTGATATGTTACCGCTAAATGCATGCTCGACAGGCGAATGGCGTTATATGATATCATATTTGTATCCTGATGATTCAGGTTACGGATATGATACAGGCCAATACCTGAAAGGACATGACGTTATTAACGGACATATCTAGATGACGTCAGTAACAAATATCTGACGAGGACAGGCTTAGATGTAGCTCAAGGTAGTGAACTAAGGACCAAATATATTTACTTTATAATTTGCCTTCTTCTACATATATCAATTCAACAGATTAACAGCCGCAAGACGCTCAAGATCAACTTCGCCGCTCCCATGTCTGCGAAAAGGGCTGAAGTCATCCTTGCGAGCGACAATTACTTCCACTGGTAGTTTGTCATGCGAATGACGCTGGCGAGAAAGGGACTGCTAGCACACATTCAGATGGTCAAGCCCGAAGCTGAGATGACTGAAGCGTGGGTGATAACGACATGAAGGCACTGAGATTGATTGCTCAAGGCATTGCGGTGGAGCATCACACAAAGATTCGGTCTGCAACGACGGCTATCCAGGCATGGATTACGTTGCGTGAGTTTTACAATCGCACGACCATGCACAATCGGGTGACGATGAACCGCCGTCTTCATGATTTTAAGATGGACGACGGCGTGACGATGACCCAGCATCTGGACAAGTTCGATGAATTAATTGTTGGTCTCCAGTCTCTGGGGGAGCCAATTGACGAAGCGCGACAGCTCGTGGTTTTGCTCAGCAGTCTGCCTGCAGAGTACGAGATCATCGCGTCGATCGTGGAGAACGCCAAGGACGTCACTCTCATAGAGGTAAAGGAGAAGCTTTTTAAGGAGTATGAGCGACAGGACAAGAAGGAAGCCACGGAACGCGCGCTAAAGGCTACAACACATGGGATCAAGTCGAAAAAACCTAAGGTTCGACAAGGGCGGAAGGAACAATGGACGCAAGGACAACGTCTCGAGGAATCGAAGCGGGTTAAAAGGCAAATGCTTCAACTGTGACAAGCTCGGTCACATGAAGCGGGACTGCCCGCACATGAAGGGGCCTGCAAATAATGAAGAGGACGCTGTTATTGCTGCCGGGGAGAGTCGATCATCAGGGTGGCTGATCGACAATGGTGCAACGGCACACATGACGCCGCACCGAGAAGAATTGTTCGACTACAAAAACCTAGTGACAAGCATTGAGGTAACCATCGCGGATGGAAAGAAGATCCGTGTGGTAGGAACCGGGTCGGTGCGCTTAACGGGCATTGACGGCAAGCGCATTAGGATGTTAGACGTTCTCCGCATCCCTGGCCTGGATTATAATGGGCTACATTACACATATAGCATTAACACAAATAAACAATTACATATGTAGGCAGGTGCTGGGCCCGAATAGCGGGCACAGCGTGGTAATTTATTATTGGTTTATTATTGGGCCTAAAGTCCCCAATATGGACCAATGATAAATCAACCTGAAATTGTGTGGTTCCCGAAAGGCGGGAACACTGTCGTATCTATTACGACTAAAATCTTCGTAATTAGTACGAATCAAAACCAAAATAAAAATCAGAGTTAAATTTACTTAATACCTAATACTCGGGCTTGAGTCTTCCTCAAGCGCACGTGTAAGCTAGTGACGGTACGTTCTAGCCCCGTTACACCTGGTAGCACTTTGTAGTCCTTCCTATGCCCGAGTTTGGGATGAGCGAATCGTCGTACTTTGACGCTCCAGATTTATTTCTGGAGCACGCGACCTTCCCCCATCTTACTGGTGTTGAGTGGGATGCCCTTAATCGCCTCGCGGCGATATCGGGAGAGGCATTCGTCGCGTCGCTGATGAGATCAGCGACCCCTGACGCGCAACGTCTCGCCATACATGAGTTTATGGCACGCGAGCTTGCCGAATCCAACCGGCGAGGCTTAACTCCCTCGCGCCCTTCACGTAATGAGGCCGTGAAGATGGAAACCTCCTCCTACTCTGGAGAAGGTAAGGACCGGTTATCGCTGAACCGGTGGTTCCGAGAAGTTGATATCGCCATCGCCTCGAGACTTCTTGAGGCTCCACAGGCGAAGGTCAACTTTCTTCTTCCCGCCTCACCGGGAAGGCCAAGGAGTGGGCCCTTGGTAAACTCGTTGTGGACGAGCACGCATTTCCCACCTTGGATACCATCCAGGACGATCTCCGTCTTGCCTTCGAGCCACCACAAGAGGAGAAACTGGTGCGATCAAGATTCCTGTCGATGCGACAGGGTAAAATGGCGATGCGCGACTACGTACAGATGGCTAGGCATCTGGCGTCGTGTATTATCACGCACCCCATGGACATGTACACACAGGTAAATGTCTTTGTGGATAGTATGCGTGAGGGGCAGACCCGCTTATCGCTGGAGCGCGCCGAGCCTGCCACATTGGAGGAGGCATTCGCCATCGCACTCCGTGAAGACTTTAGGGTCACAAAGGCCTATGCCAAACCCTCGGTCGTCAGCGTTCCCCGGCCTTCTGGCCCAGAACCTATGGAGATCGACGTTATTGAGTCGTCGGGTGACCGGCGACGTGTCTTTCATCATAAAGGTGACGCTCGCACCGGGCGTCCAATGGTTTGCTTTGGTTGTCTCAAGCCAGGACATCGCGCGGCAGAGTGCCGTGCGCCAGCCCCATTATCGGTGCAAGTAGTGGACGCCCATCATGAGAGTGCTGTACCGGCCGCACGTCCAAAAAACGGTCGGGATCAGTAGGTGCAGGGCGCCCTACTGGTTGGAACGGAGGTCCGGGTCCCCCGGTGGCAGCCCAACCTTCCAGTACTCCTGCGCTACGCGCACGGTTAAATGCCACCACTACGAGTGGTGATTCACGTCTGATTATTGTCAGTTTACATGTCGCCGGCGTCCGGCGACCTCTGCGAGCATTCCTGGACTCAGGAGCAACAAACAATTTCTTTCGTGAATCTTGTTGGTCGATGCTGCCTCCCAGCATTTAGGTCCGTGAGGGACCTGGCCAAGTCGTCATCAAGTTGGCTGACGGGAAACCACACTGCGTATCGCGGCGCGAAGTGTCGTTGCCGTATACGTTTGATGGCTTTCGCAGTAATGATGATTTCTTGGTGATCGCAATGAATTATGCATTCGATTGCATACTGGGCATGCCATGGTTGGCACGTTATAAGCCCCAGATCGACTGGTTAGCCAGATCAGTGAGACGTCGACGCAAGTTCGATGTCAGTGAAGTGTTTACCCATCTCTTGGTATCTCCAAGTGACTGGCCAAACGTCACAGTCGTGGATCGCGATTCCACGACGTTGGCGGTGCACAGAGCGAGCGATGGCCCTCTCTGCACTTCTTGTGCTGTTCTTCGAGACACAAGTGACAGTGACTCCTCGCTACAGAGCGAAGAGGACGACGAGGACGACGCGGTCGAACAGGGTTTCCCGCGCGTCATTAATGCGGTTGAACAGGGGTTCCCGCACGTGAATGCAGTGGTTGAACCGGGGTTCCCATCTGCACCTATTGTGGTCGAGCAGGGGCTCCCACAAGGGCATTGTGGCGACGATCAAGAGCTCGCCAGCGAGTGTGACGTGGACGGACAGGAGTCCTCACGCGAGAGCATGATGGTCGAACCGGGGTTCCCATCATCACCCACTGTGGTCGAACCGAGGTTCCCACATGGGTATATTGTGGTCGAGCAGGGGCTCCCACACGAGTACAACGTGGACGGACAGGAGTCCCCACGCGAGAGCATGATGGTCGAACCGGGGTTCCCATCATCACCCACTGTGGTCGAACCGAGGTTCCCACATGGGCATACTGTGGTTGAGCAGGGGCTCCCACGCGGGTTTACGGCGGCCGAGCAGGAGCTCCCGCATCAAGTGTCGACGGTCGAGTTTGGGGTACTCCCGTCCAGTGTTTCCGGCATCTTGGATGACGACATCCAGTGCCTAGAGGGGGGTGATGGTTTATCACCTGACTGCGGTTCGCCAGCTTCGAGTAGTGACTCGAAGCACGATGGGGACAACAGCACCGAGAATTTAGCGTTGGAATGTGTCCACGCTATCGTGTACGTGGAAGGGAGTCCACAAAGGCGCCAATATATCGAGGTCGAGAGTCCTCCTCGTAATGCGTCTTCCATTACAAGTCTTCCAGGGCTTTCCTGGAAGCATTTCCTACGTGACCTTAAGGGAGGCACTGTGGAACAAGTGTGTCTAATCACCAACGAGGTGGTTACCGTGGAAAACGAGGAGCATATGGCGCGTCCTCAAAGCGCTGAGCCGAAGTCTGCGCGTGAAGAAAGGTTTGCATCACAGTCATGGGAGGCCCTGCGAGAGTCTGGTAACCCCGTCTACGACATTGCTCGTGAGTATGCAGACGTGTTCCCGGACAAGATCCCGGCTGAACTTCCTGCGGACCGCGGTGCTCGGCACGAGATTGATCTCGTGCCAGGGTCGAAGTATTGTGTGACACGGCAGTGGCCGTTGTCTCGAGATCAAGTCGAAGCTATTGACGCATACTTTGAAGGCCGCCGCAAAGCGGGCCATGTGCGAGAAAGTATCTCACCACATTCGAGTCCAACCTTCTGCGTGAAGAAGGCTACGGGAGGCTGGCGGACAGTGCATGCGTTCAATAAGTTGAATGATGCCACTATTCCTGCGCAAACGCCAATTCCCAGGAAGGACATGGTGCTGAATTCCATGTCAGGAAGTGTCATCTTCAGTGCCATCGACTTGACCGATGGCTTTTACCAGATTTTGATGCGCCCGAGCGATATCCCACTCACCGCGGTGAGCACCCCGAGTGGCATGTTATGGGAGTGGCTGGTAATGCCACAAGGGTTGAAGAACGCTCCGGCCACTTTCAATCGCATGGTGTCTCAAGTGTTGAGACCTCTTCGGAACTTTGCCCCAAGTTATTTTGACGATATCTTCGTCCATAGTCGCGCCGAGGGCAACCTCAACGATGTCCAAGTTCACCTTCAACACCTGAAGCAAGTGTTTCAAGTTATGCGGGACAATAAGTTGTACGCGAATCTCAAGAAGTGTGTCTTTTGTGCACCGGAGATTCCGGTGTTAGGTTGCTATGTGAGTAAATCGGGAGTTCGAGCTGATCCAGAGAAGGTGTCGTCCATCTGTTCTTGGCCCACGCCCAAGAACCCTACGGAGTTGCGCCAGTGGCTCGGCTTGGCTAATTATTTGCACAAGTATACAAAGGATTATGCTGGTTCTATCCAGCCTTTGTCGTCACTCTTGAAGAAAGACGCCAGGTGGTTGTGGCGTCCCGAGCACCAACAGCCTTCGAAGCAGTAAAGAGGAGCCTAGCGTCAGCGCCAGTCCTGGTCCTACCAGACGATTCCAAGCCGTTCCACGTGGTTTGCGACGCCAGTGATTTTGCAATCGGTTGTGCCCTCATGCAATTTGATGATGAGGGCCGTGAACGAGTCGTGAGTTATCAGTCGCGACAGATGAAGCCAGCTGAGAAGAACTATCCGGTTCACGACAAGGAGTTATTAGCGATGCGCTATGCACTCATCAAGTTTCGCGTGCATCTCCTTGGTGAAAGTACGTTTGCTTTGTACACCGATCATGCATCGCTGCGCACAGCGATGAAGAGCCCACACCTGTCCCAACGGATGGCACGATGGCTCTCATTCTTCTCTGAGTACAACTTCGTCGTGCATTACAAGCCAGGCAAGACCAATATTCTCGCTGACGCCTTGTCACGACGTCCCGACTACGATCCTCGGACTGCTCTGAGTCGCTAGGCTACTGATGACGAGGACGATGATGACCGATGTGCAATGTGTGTATCGCTGAACTTAACTCGGGTTACACCCGAGCCGTGTTTATTTGATGATATCGTCGCAGCGTACAAGGGTGACTCAGATTATGCAGACATTATCGAGTATCTGCGTGCTCCCAGCGATGCTGCCCTGGGAGCATTATCCCGTACCAAGCGCGACCATATTCATCAATGCAGTTTAGATGGCGATTTGCTTCTGTATAGCATCGACCAATTCGATTCTCCTCGCACGGTGATTGCCAATGACATGGATTTGCGTGCAAGAATCATTCACTAGTATCACGATGCTCCTGCTGGCGGCCATTTAGGCCGCGAAAAGACTTTCGCGGCTGTGTCTCGAGACTTCTTCTGGCCCCACATGTATAAGTGGGTACGCAACTGGATCCGAACGTGCGAAATATGCCAGCGTGTGAAGCCATCTCCATCGTCACAGGCTCCCTTGCGATCGTTGCCAATTGCAGCAGAGGCCTGGAGATCAGTTTCGATGGACTTTATCTTCGGGCTTGCGCCCGATAGCCAAGCTAGAACGGGCATCTTGGTCTTTGTTGACAGATTCAGCAAGATGACACATCTCGTGCCTGTTCACGCTAAAGTCACCGCGGCAGAGACCGCGGCGCACTTCATCGACGCGGTGTTCCGTCATCATGGCCTTCCAGAAAACATTGTTTCGGACCGTGATCCGCGATTTACGTCCGCATTTTGGACATCACTTTTCGAGCTCCTCGGGACAAAACTGCTGATGTCGACGGCATCCCATCCGGAAACGGATGGGCAGACCGAGCGCGTGAACCGAGTCCTCGAAGATGTTCTTCGGAGTTATGCTACGTCATTTACAAGTTGGAGTGCATTTTTACCACTCGCTGAGTTCGCACTCAACAACGCCGTACACGCGTCAACAGGGTTGACGCCATTTTTTGTAAATTCGGCTCGTCACCCTCGTGTTCCTACTGTCCTGGCCGTGGGGCGACCCACAACACCTAGTGGCTCCACTCTGGGGGGGATAAAGGTGATAAACAAGGATCGAGTGCAGCTCACGGTATTTTGAGCGCGAATGCAGTAACACGATCCAAGGCAAAGACGGCCATTTTGACGCCATCAGACGTGGCGTCCCCATTAGCTCGATGCACTGCGCAGACATTGATTGACCTGTCTTCGGGTAAACGTTCCCCTACTGCCAACTACGCGCCGATTGAGTCGGCGCGACCAATTGATGACATGGCCGTGTCGGAATTTATACTCCAACGTCAAGCCATCACCAGGTTTGTACGCGACGCACTACAAACTGCTGTAGACCAACAGAAGGAGAACGCTGACAAACATGGAAGAAAGAACATGAGCAAGTTTGAGAAAGGTGACCGTGAATTATTATCGACGGAAGGTTTAAGGGATTCTGCGGTCACTTATCTGGGCGCGAATAAACTCGCGCCACGCTTCATCGGTCCATTCAAGGTTCTGAAGGCAATTAGCGACGCTTATACACTCGACGTCCCCTCTTCACTGCGACTCCACCCGACATTCTATGTCGGGCGGCTGAAGGAATATCGTCCGGCTACGCTTCACGGTTTGGCTCCGACGCCGGCTTCAGGGGTTCGTAAGTCGAACGGCCTTCCCGTCGCGCTCGACGCGCCGATGACATGGGGCGGGGTCTCGATCCCGTCTGAACCTGACCAAGCATCTGGCGCTCCAGAATCCTTATCCGCTCGAGCAGTTCACGGTTCGACTGTCGGGTCTCACTCGAAGTCTTCTCCGCCTGGGCAGCACGTTCACTGGCAGCCTCAGCCTCCAGCCGAGCATCGGCAGCTATATTCACGGCCTGATCAACATCGTCCTGGGCAACCAGGACGCCAGCTCTACCACCGCGAGAGCCCTCCTCCGCTTGTTGATGCGGAGGGACAGGTGCGCTGGATTGTAGACCGCAGTGTGGGTCACGAGGACCCTCCACAACCATTACTGCAGTCGGCTCATGAGAAGCGTGCGGTTCCATCCGTGCGTAGGTACCGAGTACGTTGGCTTGGATTCCCTCCCGAGCAGGATACATGAGAACCACGTTCCTCGCTCCTTCGTATGTGGTTCTGTCGTATGAAGCCACGAAGTCGGACTATTCCAAGGCGGGCGAGCACGCGAACGTCTCGTGACAAACGAGAGCGGTAAGGAGATTCACGTTGTCGGAAACGGAAACGATGACGCGAACGAGAACGATGTCGCGAACGAGAACGATGCCGTGAACGAGAACGTCGCGGTGAATACATATCACGATTGCGAGGCGAGAATCGCGAAGTTCCTCTCGATTGGCGAGCCATAACTGGAAGCTGCTACCATCCTCGAGCATCCGATTCCAACGTTGGATGAAGGCGCACCAAGAACGTTGTAGAGCTTCATGCTCGATTCCATCAAGACCTTTCCCGCGCAGTTTTCGAAATCGGCGGAAGTATTCCCGCATCATGTCCAGTGAGTCCGGAGCGTGAGCTCCGGACAAGTCGTACAGCGACCAAGGTATGAGCTGCCGCGCCATGATGCTGGTTGATGCATTCCCGCTGATGTATCTTGGGCGTCCTGCTAGATTGGGTTCTGGGTCTCCGGACATTGCTTATTCGTTTGTGGGCAAAGGGTTTTCGACAGTTGAGCACTCACGGTTGATGAGTGCTGTCATGAGAAGGGGGTGATGTAATGGGCTACATTACACATATAGCATTAACACAAATAAACAATTACATATGTAGGCAGGTGCTGGGCCCGAATAGCGGGCACAGCGTGGTAATTTATTATTGGTTTATTATTGGGCCTAAAGTCCCCAATATGGACCAATGATAAATCAACCTGAAATTGTGTGGTTCCCGAAAGGCGGGAACACTGTCGTATTTATTACGACTAAAATCTTCGTAATTAGTACGAATTAAAACCAAAATAAAAATCAGAGTTAAATTTACTTAATACCTAATACTCGGGCTTGAGTCTTCCTCAAGCGCACGTGTAAGCTAGTGACGGTACGTTCTAGCCCCGTTACATGGATCGACGACTACTATCGGTCGGCAAGCTTGCAGAACGCGGACTCAATGTAGAGTTCGAGCACACATCATGTATCATTTGGAACAAAAACCAAGCCACTGCCTCGGGGAAAAAGGTTGGCAAGGCCTACATACTAGAATGTCAGCAGGAAAAGGCGCAATACGTGGAATATTCGGACGTCGATAGCAATTATGATCTTTGGTACGCTCGTATGGGTCACTTGAACAAGGACGCGCTGGAAAAGACGCAGCGTGTGACGACTGGTATTCCAATTACCATTTTCAAGACGAAGGCGTTATGCAGTGGATGATTGAAATGCAAGCAAACGGTGACACAATTCCCATCTCATTCACAGACGAAGACGTCCCGTGTTCTGGAACTTGTGCACACGGACGTAATAGGACCGATGAAGACGAGATCAAAAGGTGGCGCAAAGTATGTGCTTACCTTCGTTGACGACTACTCGAAGTACGTTTTGTCATACTTCCTTAAGAAGAAGAGCGAAGTGCCGAGAACCTTTGAGTCTTTCAAGACCATGTACGAGAATCAGTGGGGAGAGCGCATCAAGTGTCTACGCTCTGACAACGGCACTGAGTTTGTAAACAAGGCCATGGATGAAATTTGTCAGCGTAACGGAATTGTTCATCAAAAGACTGTGCCATACAGCCCTCAACAAAATGGAGTGGCTGAGCGGATGAACCGAACGATAATGGAGAAGGCACGGAGCATTATTCACTACAAGGGTGTATCTACTTCCTGGTGGGTAGAGGCATTTAGCACGACAGTGTACTTAATTAACCGGACAACAAACAGCACACACACTGACGCTGTAATGGGGCAACCTATTACATGAGTAGTTATAGGATTAATACATAAATTACATAAGTAGGCATAGGGCAGTATCCGATTAGCGGATACTGCGCGTCATTTTATTATTGGTTTATTATTGGGGTGCCAGACCCAATAATTAACCAATAATAAATTGACTTCCATATTGAGTGGTTCTCATGAGCTAGGGAACATATTCGCACTTACTGCGAATTAAAACAAAACAAAATAAAACAGAGTTATATTTACGAGTTAATTAAGAGCGCTTCCTCATGACCCTTTTAGTGTAAGACGGTAATGGGTCCTTAGCCCGTTACACCTGGTAGAACTTCGTAGTCCTTCCAATGACCAGACTCGAGAGGAACATGGGCGAGTCTTCGGTGGCTCCAGCGGTCTCGCTGGAGCATTCTGATTTTTCACATCTCACCTCGGTGGAGTGGTAGGCACTACATCGCCTCGCGGCGGTGTCTGGTGAAACTATTGTGACTTCGCTGCTGAGCACAGCGACGCCTGATGCTCAACGTGCCGCCATCCAAGACTTTATGGTGCGCGAGCTCGCCGAAGCGAATCGGCGAGTCCCGCGCACTTCGCACCATGATGCTATCAATATGGAGACGTCAATGTACTCCGGTGATGGTCCGGATCGTCTCCCCCTTAATCGCTGGTTTCGCGAGGTGGATATTGCAATAGCGTCAGGATTAATTGACGCTCCGACGTCCAAGGTCAATTTCCTGTTGTCTTGCCTTGCCGGCAAAGCCAAGAAATGGGCTCTCGGAAAGCTCGTCGTAGATGAGTCGGCGTTTCCTACGCTGGACGATATCCAGCGTGACTTACGACTGGCTTTCGAGCCTCCTCAAGATGAATCTCCCTTGCGTGCAAATTTCTTCTCACTCCACAGAGCAAGCTGTCGATGCGTGACTACGTGCAGAAGACACGTCATCTTGCTTCGTGCATTACTACGCAGCCAATTGACATGGCTTCACAAGTCCTTGTCTTTATTTTTGGTATGCAAGAGGGCATGACGCGTTACTGCCTCACACGTGCTGAGCCAAAGTCCCTCGAGGGGGCATTTGCCCTCGCGCTTCGTGAGGATTACACTGTCGCGTCGTCGTACCTGCACGCAGCGTCACAACATTCCCGGACGTCTGGCTTAGAGCCAATGGAAATTGATGCAATTGAGTCCTCTCGTGGTCGCGGCAAATCATTAAGCCGCGACATTCGCAATCCTAACACGATGAAGTGTTTTCGCTGTGGTAAAACAGGCCCCGTGCGGCTGTCTGTCGTGCACCTGCGCCGGTGACTATGAACACAGCTGTCTCACGAGGAGACGCTGTGTCGTCGGTGGTCCCGCCAAAAAACGAGCGGTTCCAGTAGGCGTGGGGCGCCCTACTGCAGAAATGGAGCCCCGAGTAATCAGGTGGGAGCTCGGGCTCCTAGCCCCAAAGTGATTTATACCCACTTCAATGCCACCACCATGCGCGATGATTCGAGACTGATTATTATCAGTCTCATCGTCGCTGGAGTGAAGCGTCCACTTCGAGCGTTGTTGGATTCTGGCGCTTCCAACAACTTCTTTCGTGCAACCTGTTTGTCCCTTCTCCCTTCGACTGTCACGGTTCGAGAAGGTCCAGGTGACATCGTTGTCAAACTTGCCGATGGACAACCAAAACGTGTCCCGCGTAAAACAGTGGTTTTACCGTACACTTTCGACGGTTTCCAGAGCAACGACGAATTTTGGTGTACAAGACGAACTATGCATTTGATTGCATAGTTGGGATACCGTGGCTGTCACGGTATCAGCCGAAGATAGATTGGCTATCTCGGCCCGTCAAACGACGAAGCGGTTATGACGTCAGTGAAGTGTTTACTCATTTGTTGGTCGCTTCATCCGATTGGCCTCACGTCAGGGTCGTGAACGAACTCGCCACGACTAGTAGTCAACACAGAGAGAGCGATGGCCCTCTGTGCGCAGTATGTTCCGTTACACTGACGGAGCCACAGAACGAAGCGGTCGAACAGCGGTTCCCGCATACACAGACATCGGTCGAACAGGGGTTCCCGATGCACAACGAGGCGGTCGAACAGCGGTTCCCGTACACACAGACATAGGTCGAACAGGGGTTCCCGATTCTCAACGAGGCGGTCGAGCAGGGGCTCCCGCATACAAGCACATCGGACGAGCAGAGGCTCCCTAACAATTTCGAGGCGGTCGAGCAGGGGCTCCCGCATACAAGCACATCGGACGAGCAGAGGCTCCCGATCAATTTCGAGGCGGTCGAGCAGGAGCTCCCGCATACAAGCACATCGGACGAGCAGAGGCTCCCAATAAATATCGAGGCGGTCGAGCAGGGGCTCCCGCGTACAAGTACATCGGACGAGCAGAGGCTCCCGATAAATATCGAGGCGGTCGAGCAGGGGCTCCCGCGTACAAGTATATCGGACGAGCAGAGGATCCCGATAAATATCGAGGGGGTCGAACAGGGGCTCCCGCAAACAAATGAAGCGGTCGAAGACGAGCTCTCGCTTTTGACTGACGAGATGGGGCGGACTATGGATCCGCATGAGACCGACGTGGTGGAGACAGAGCTCCCAAGTCTAGAGGGGGGTACATCATCCTCTTGTGATAGCGACGTGTCAGTCTCGAGCAGGGGCTCGAGACGCAAGAGAAAACGCAAGAAAGGAGCACGCCGATCACCGAGACGACGCAATTTACGTCAACATGCTGATACATCTGATTCGGTGGTGACGGAATCCGTATGCGCCCTTGAATATGTGGAGGGATCCCCACATCGTGGCCGCTACATTGAGGTAGAGAGCCCACCGTGCACTGCTGCAGATATCACATCTCTACCAGACCTTAAATGGAAAGACTTCCTTCATGACCTCAAGGCCGGCGACATCGAGCAAGTGTGCATCGTTTCAGCCACCGAAGCAGCCAGTGAAGAAGTTCTGGAGGCTCACCCGAAGAGCGCCGAGCCTAAATCAGCGCGCGAAGAACGCTTCGCGGCACAGTCTTGGGATGCTATTCGTGCTTCGGGCAACCCTGTATACGATATCGTCCGTGAGTACGCCGATATTTTCCTGGAGAAAATTCCAGCTGAGCTTCCGGCGGATCGTGGTGTGCGGCACGAGATAGATCTCGTGCCAGGATCGAAATATTGCGTGACACGGCAGTGGCCCTTACCGCGCGACCAAGTCATCGCTATTGATTAATTTTTCGAGTGTCGCCGCAAGGCTGGCCATGTCCGCGAGAGTATCTCACCACATTCGAGTCCGACTTTCTGTGTGAAGAAAGCCACCGGCAGTTGACGAATTGTACAAGCCTTCAACAAGCTGAATGACGCCACGATCCCGGCTCAAACGCCTATACCTCGAAAAGACATGGTATTAAATACCATGTCCGGGAGCAAGATCTACAGCGCCATAGATCTGACAGACGGTTTCTATCCGAACCTCATGAGGGACAGTGACATTCCGTTCACTGCGGTCAGAACCCCAAGCGGGATGCTTTGGGAGTGTTTAGTCATGCCACAAGGTCTTAAGAATGCTCCAGCTACGTTCAATCGGATGGTGACACAAGTACTTCGCCCACTTCGCGACTTTGCACCGAGCTACTTTGACGACATTTTCGCTCACAGCCGCGCTGAGCAAAAGCTCAGCGCTACGGAGGTACACCTTCGACACTTTAAGCAGGTGTTTCAAGTTATGCGCGAGAATAAATTGCATGCTAATCTGAAGAAATGTGTCTTCTGCGCTCCCGAGATTCCAGTACTCGGTTGTTACGTCAGCAAGGAAGGTGTCCGAGCTGATCCTGAGAATATCTCATCGATCTGTTCCTGGCCAACGCCCAGGAACCAAACTGAATTACGTCAATGGCTCGGTCTGGCGAATTACTTGCATAAGTATACGAAGAACTATGCTGAGCTAATTCACCCATTATCAACTTTGCTCAAGAAAGATGCAGTATGGTTATGGACGGCAGAACATCAATCTGCCTTCGACTCCGTAAAGAAGAGCTTGTCCGAGGCACCGGTGCTGATGTTACCTGACGACTCTAATCCATTCCACGTCGTATGTGACGCGAGCAATTTCGCTATAGGATGTGCCCTCATGCAATTTGATGACGAGGGTCGAGAGAGCGTCGTGAGTTTTCAATCACGACAGATGAAATCTGCCGAGAAAAATTATCCGGTACACGACAAGGAACTTTTGGCTATGCGTTACGCGCTAATCAAGTTTAGAGTAGATTTGCTCGGCGAAAAGATGTTTTCTATCTACACAGATCACGCATCATTGCGTACCGCCGTCAAGAGTCCTCACTTGTCCCAGCGTATGGCACGGTAGTTGTCATTTTTTGCCGAGTATAATTTTGTGGTGCATTACAAGCCTGGCAAGAATAACATTCTCTCTGACGCGCTTTCTCGTCGTCCTGATTACGATCCTCGGCGCGACATGGGTCATCAAACGGAGTATGTTGATGACGACGAAGATATCTGTGTGTGTTGTATTGAACTGGGACTTAATGCGATGATTTCGACCCCCGTGCTTTCGATCCGAACTCAGATTGCTGAATCCTACACGAATGTTTCCTTCTATGCAGGAATCATCAACTATCTCAGAAACCCGAGCGAAAAATTACTCGTGAAGTTGACGAGACCAACACGCGACAACATCAAGCGCTACGCGCTTGACAGTTCGTTGCTGACGTACACGATGGACGTCTTTGATTCCCCGCGTGTCGTCATCCCTGCTGATGACGACCTTCGAGCCCGATTGGTTCATGAATTTCACGACAGCCCAGCTGGCGGACACCTGGGTCGCGAGAAGACGTTTGCAGCTATTTCTCGCGTATTTTTCTGGCCGCGAATGTATAAATACATCCAGAAATGGGTGCGCTCCTGTGAAACCTGTCAGCGTGTGAAGCCCGCGCCGTCTTCACAAGCTCCATTGCGCCCGCTTCCGATTGCTACGGAAGCCTGGCGCTCGGTCAGCATGGATTTTATCTTTGGCCTTCCACCGGATGAACAGAAATGCACGGGCGTATTGGTTCTAGTGAATTGGTTCAGCAAAATGGTGCATTTTGCTCCGGTCCGCCAACATTACGGCGGAGACGACAGCGAAGATCTTCATTGATCTTATCTTTAGGCATCACGGCTTGCCAGAATCTATTGTTTCGGACCGTGACCCGCGTTTCACTTCGGCTTTCTGGGCCGAATTATTTCAGCTATTAGGCACGAGGTTGCTTATGTCTAGGGCGGCCCATCCAGAGACGGATGTGCAAACGGAGCGTGTGAACAGAGTGCTCGAAGATGTCTTGCGCAGTTATGCAACATCGTTCTCATCATGGAGTTCATTTCTTCCACTTGCAGAGTTTGCAATCAACAATGCTGTCCATGCGTCAACCGGGTTGACGCCCTTTTCGTTAACAACGCGAGGCATTCTCGCGTTCCAGCGCTGCTTGCTCTCTCAGCTTCAGAACACCCTGTTTCCAAGCTTGGTGGGGGAGTATCTACGGATGGAATTGCGCCGAAACTATTGATGATTGATTACGATGCGCATAAGGTTGCTGCCGATGCACCTAATACTGGTAATTTCGTGAACAACGGCATATCGACTCCTGACGCGATGCTTTCCATCGCGTCTCCCGTTGCCAATTTTGCTCCAAAAGAGAATACGTCGCCTGTAATTTCGGCTGCAGTAACTGAATTCCTACTATTACGACAAGGAATCACGCGTTTTGTGCGTGATGCATTACAAGAGGCAGCCGACAAGCAAAATGAGAATGCAGACAGAAGAGGTCGAAAGAATATGTTGATATTTCAAGAAGGTGACAGAGTTTTGTTATCAACAAGTGGATTACCAAACACCTCAGTGACGAATTTGGGCGCTAATAAGTTAGCGTCAAGATATATTGGCCCATTTCGGGTTGTTAAGGTGCATGGTGACGCTTACACGCTAGACATACCTACATCTATGCGTTTGCACCCGACGTTCTACGTCGGGCACCTCAAGGCTTACCTGCCGGCGGATCTCCCTTCGAATCTTCCCCGCTCTTCTGTGCCGGCTCGAAATCCGACATACCTTGACGACGACGTTGACGACGACTGGGACCAAGTCCTGCCCGAACGCGTGCAGACTCGATCTGCTGGGGTCCTCCGAACGCAGTCTTCTCAAGTTGACGTAGGCGCTCAACCAGTCCAGCTGCTCACGTCGAGTCCGCTCAGCAGCCTCAGTCGCAGCATCCGCAAGATCTTGAGCTCTCTCAGCCATCTCGCGAGCATCAAGTAGGGCATGCTTCGATTCCTCGACTTCAGCGTGAAGTAGACGCAGCTCATCATTCGACTGTACAGGCGCCCGATTACGAGAATCGGCGCCCATCGCCAGAGGGCTTCCGTCGTGATGCTCCTCCTCCCTTAGTTTATGCATCGGGTGCGCAAATCGAATTTGGCGCACGTGGGGATCGAACCAGCGACATCACGATCAAGAACTCTGTGGTACACCACTGCACCAACAAAATGATAGCGAATGAAGTGTTTCGTTATGAGCTGTCGCAATTCTGGATGATTAGCGCCGATATAACTGTATAGCGTCCACGGGATCAAGTGTGCGTCCGTGACTCGCGGTGTCTGCTCCCTGCAGATCGTACGGTTGTTGTCGTCAGATATATCCTTGCGCGCGCGGTCAGGGTCATGCTGCTCAGTTGTGCATCACTGAGCAGGTTCGAGGTTGTGTCGCTGCATCTTTGGTGGAAAGAATCATTTTTGTGTTATGTGCTTACTTTGTAGTAAGCACAACTTATGAGGGGGGGTGATGTAATGGGGCAACCTATTACATGAGTAGTTGTAGGATTAATACATAATTACATAAGTAGGCATAGGGCAGTATCCGATTAGCGGATACTGCGCGTCATTTTATTATTGGTTTATTATTGGGGTGCCAGACCCAATAATTAACCAATAATAAATTGCCTTCCATTATGAGTGGTTCCCATGAGCTAGGGAACATATTCGCACTTACTGCGAATTAAAACTAAAACAAAATAAAACAGAGTTATATTTACGAGTTAATTAAGAGCGCTTCCTCAACGCCCTTTTAGTGTAAGAGGGTAACGGGTCCTTAGCCCGTTACAGACGCGACTCCATACGCGATTAGATTTAAGATGAAGCCTCGACTGGACCACTTGCGAGTGTTTGAATCAATTGGTTATGCTCATGTCGACGACGCTAAGCGCACAAAGCTCGAGCCAAATAGCTTCAAGTGTATGTTCCTTGGCTATGGGGACAATACGAAGGGCTATCGCGTCTATGAACTGAAGCTAAATAAAGTCAAGATGTCAAGATCAGTGAAGTTAGACGAACGCGAGGTTAATGGAATTTATAGCACGTCGATGACAGAAAAGACTGAAGTCATCAACGTGATAAAGGACATCGACGAAGTGGCTCAGCCTGAAAATGAGAAGGAATCTTCTGTGGAAGATGAACCAATGGAATCGACAGCGGACCTATTTGAAGACGTCGAGATGCAAGAAAGTTAACATGAGCCTATGTCATCAGGAAGAGAATTAACGACATATCATCGGGTACATGAGTCAACAGCAAACAGCAAACAGTTACATGGTTTTCAGACCCGAAAGGGAACGATATCGACGTCTAAGATAACCATCTCTTCTTCTTGGGAATGGAATGATTATGGCTGACGGGAACACAATGGATAGCGACGATGATCCTGACAATGACGATCATTTCTATCCGCCGTCACCCAAACGACCTCGTATTGATAAAGATAATCTACTTGCAGAAGCTGTACTAGCATATGCGGCAAGTATTGGTGATGCAAATGATGCACCGACGACATATCAACAAGTCATGGACAGCGACGAAGCCAAGGAATGGGTGAAGGCTATGATCGCTGAGCGTAAAGCTCATTCGTAGAATGGTTCATGGAGTCTTGTCCTGAAGATGAAGAACGTCCGGACAATCGGATGCAGGTGGGTATTCGCTAAAAAGCGCAGCGACCAAGGACAGGTGGTGCGGTACAAGGCCCGACTTGTCGCAAAAGGATTTAAGCAGAAGTTCGGTGTCGATTTTTTTAGACGCAATCACCCGTAGCAAACATGAACTCGATCAGGCTCGTGCTGGCTGTGGTGGTGGCGAAGGGATACGTGACCGAACAGATGGATGCAGACACGGCGTTTCTAAACAGTAATATCAAAGAAGAGGTGTACATGGAAGTACCTAATGGCATAAAAGATGCTGAAAAGATGATGTGCAAGCTGGACAAGGCAATCTACGGACTCAAACAAGCTGTGAGTGCATGGAACAAGACTATCCATGCTGTGTTCTTACAAATTAGTTTTCAAAGCAGTGGAGCATATCAATGCGTCTATGTCAAGGTCAACAACGGCAGCTTCGTCTATGTGTGTCTTTACGTCGACGACATGATCATCGCTGCCAAGACCAGTAGAGAGATCCGGGAAGTCAATACAGCACTGAAACATTCGTTTAAGATGAAGGAGCTCGGTGAGGTCAAGTTTATTCTAGGTATGGAGATCGATCATGATCGTAACGGCAGTACGCTGATGATTCGTCAGACTCGCTATATCGATGACGTGGTCTGCCGGTTTAACCAAGATGAAGCAAAGGCAGTTGTCAACCCATGCGAGTCTGGATTGAAGCTATCAAAGATACGATCACCAGCGACGGACGCTGAAAGAGAAGAAATGCAGTCGAAGCCGTACAGGTCGTTGATTGGATGTCTGCTATACATCTCAACATGTACGCGACCTGATGTGGCGTATATAATCACACAGTTGTCACGTTTTTTAGAAAATCCTGGTCAACAACATTGGAAGGCTGCCATTCGTGTTCTACGATATCTCAAGACTACAAGAGACTACGGCATAATCTACGACGGCAGCGCAAGCGAGGTTCAAGCAACAGCATACACTTACGCGGACTGGGGAAGCAACATCGACGATCGACGCTCGGTTTCAGGCATAATGGTGATGATTGGTGGCGCACCAGTCGTGTTCAAGTCCAAGTACCAGCGCACTGTGGCATTGAGTTCAGAAGAGGCGGAGTACATGGCTTTAAGCTTTTGTACCCAGGAAGTACTGTGGGTACGCGCGATGCTCAAGGATCTCGGTCATGAGCAAGTGGGAGCGACTTTGGTCTATGAAGATAATCAAGGTGCGATTGGGCTTGCAAGAAACTCAGGATAAAATGCCAGGACCAAGCACGTCGATATCCGTCACCACTTCATCCGAGAGAATGTGGCTCAAGACATTATTGTGGTCAAGTACAAATCAACGGTGGACCAGCTGGCAGACATGTTGACCAAGGCACTAGAGACGAAGCGACTCAAGTACTTGCTCCAAGAAAATGGAATTGGACCAAGGCGCAGTCAGCATAAGCGGTGAGTGGGAGTGTTGATATTTCACCGCTAAATGCATGCTCGACAGGCGAATGGCGTTATATGATATCATATTTGTATCCTGACGATTCAGGTTACGGATATGATAAAGGCCAATACCTGAAAGGACATGACGTTATTAACGGACATATCTAGATGACGTCAGTAACAAATATCTGACGAGGACAGGCTTAGATGTAGCTCAAGGTAGTGAACTAAGGACCAAATATATATACTTTATAATTTGCCTTCTTCTACATATATCAATTCAATACTAGCCAAGGCAAAGTGTATATAGACGTTTCAATGCAAAGACCATAAACAGTCACGGAAAAATAGTAAAATGATAACAATGAATGTTTTGCCAACACCTCCTTGAGTAATAAAAAAACGTGGTTAGAACTAATACCAAGCAACACATAAAGCCCACCGGTAAGTAAGCAGGAAAAACAGCACACTTAGGTTTACTTCCATCTTCATGACAAGTCACTATGTCCAGACTTTCGTGCTGATGCTGGAACAGCAATGAGCTTAAACGCATTTCTTTGACAATATCTCTCCAATTCACGTACAACATCGGGCATGGCAAGTATAAAAAAGTAGCGACTCATAAAAGATGATCGTCATCACCTTTCCTTCCATTCTTGAAAGACTTGGTGCTGACAAGTTAGTCCGTGACTCATCAACGCAGTTTTACACAAAGTACATTGCGCTCTTCATGGCTGGGTGCACGTCGTACATGCGGGTGTCCGTATCCTGAGAGGTATTACTAACACCAGAAACGCTTGAAGCAGTGTCGCTCCCATCCACCAAGAAGAAACGAGCACGGAACGCGACCAGGTGCGAGTAGTATGCCGACGGCACCATCGATACAGACCGAGTGCAGCGCGCAAACGTGTAACAAAGCTTGTATGTCAGCGTCTGCAGCTCGTCGGCTGTGAACTCAATCTCATTCAAAAGCACATGGTAGTGCGTAGGACGACTGGTACCTTGCAGTCCAGCGTGGCTCATCAGATAGAAGTCGTTCTCAATGGGATGACAAACGCCCGTATCCACTACAGTTCCCGCCTTCACGTTGCCACTGCGGTCAGCATCTCTCGAATTGTCAGGGAAAAAGCGCGTATTGTGCCTCTTCTGAACAATAACAAACGTGATAGGCGGCATATAGCCTACCTCCAGAGCCTGGCACGCTTCACGGATAGCCGTCACCTCATAATTCAGCACCATGTGAAACTGTCCTTCGCTCACACCGTCGCGGTAAAACACGATGCGATCAGGCTTGCCGTGTGTCTGATGATAGAACTGCTTCAGGAGCTCGATCGTCATGTCTTTCAAATCCGCTATTTGTTCCACCCGATGACCTTGCGCGCGGATTGCCGATGCGTGACGGATGAAGTTTGCATCCATCGACGCCGTAACAGCAGCAATAGACGGACGCGTCCGGTCCATCGGGCTGGGGTGAGTGACGTCGGCTCCAAAGATGATGGTGCGTGATGCCGAAACACACGGCAGTGGACCACTAATGACACCGTTCTTCCCACCCAACTTTGTGTTCACCTTCATCAAGATGTTGGCAATGTACTGTGGATTGCACTTTGGGATATGCTTCGAAAGCATGCACTGTGACACAATCCCCATCCCAGCTTCCGTATCGGACATCAATTTGAGCCCGCCATAAGCTTGTGCATCGGCCATCGGATTGATCATCCACACGATTTGTGGCGGTGTCTTGAACGCTTGGTTTGCAGCCTTCACTGCGGCTTGAAACAACCCACGTACTGAATCGCCTCGGTTCGACTTGAGCAAGATTGGTGGCAACGTCGAAGGACACCGCATTCCCAGTTGGCCCATCTGAGCAATTACTGCCTTGAAAAACTTTTGGATTTCACCAAGACTGCAACGTCTCGGGTCACACATACTGATGACGGCCCACGACTTGCACTGCGCAGGCGTATTGAACCGCTTGCCACGCATGTTCCAAGCTCCATCACGAGGGCTCTCACGAGGCGCCTCCACTGTACTCAATCGTCGGAGGTGGCAGCTGGCGGCCAGTCGTCTCCACCATTCGCGGGTCGACATCTAGTCCAAATGCTCGAAGCGTTGGGTCCGTATTGAATCCCGCCTCTCGGAATTTCTGCTCGATTGCACGTTTACGCTTGTCTGGTGGCGTGCAAGTGAACTTGATCATATTAGCCACTTGTTTGTCCGTAACTTTACGGGGACACTTTTGTCCAGCCATGATATGACACACTTCTATTGGCAAATAGTTTTTCTTCTGAGGTGCACCAACATGTAGACACGGCAGGCTTGGGTACCGGAGACGGATATTGTACGTCTTCTGGAAATACTGGACAATCGACATTCTCTGTCCGTCGTCATTCTCAAAGAACGTCTTGTCGGCACTCTCTTTTGACAAGCCATTGACACGATAGCTACGTTTCACTCCTGGACGATGCGTGATATTCACTTTAACACCTCGAATAGCTTTACTGAATGCTGAATGCTGGTACTTGGCCAATGTCGTTGGCATCTGTCGCATCGACAGTGTCGTGCATACAAAATCAACTACAGACATCTCTTCGACAAAAGCTGTAGCAGCCAAGTCGAGATTCACAACCAGTCTATTCTGTGTTGCTCGTAAGCTTTGAAAGTAGCCAAACCAAAGCTCTGCTCCTTCTCCAAGTGAGGTGGCTCCATTGCCATGAAACAAATTCCTACCAATCACAGTAAACTTCTTGGATGCCGAATGACGTAAAGCCACATCCAGTGCTTGTAAGGCATCATAGGGTGTATAATTCAACCGTCCAGCAAACAATTCTTCTAATTGCTGCATCCGAATGGCTACAGGGTCGGCTTCCTTTACAATAGCTGAAAACTCCTTTGCTTTTCCTCCATCATCAGGTAATTTCAAGTCTTTAAACTCCTGACGTTCAAAAGGCAGTCTTGTGGGTGCATAAATGTTCTTTCGAGCATCCGAGACGACTTTTACAGTGGGAAATTGACGTTCCAGTTCCGCCATAAGGGACTTCATAATCTTCATGGCTAACGCTTTGGGAGGACCATCATTCCCAAAACTCCGTCCGTTTTCTGCAAACGTCACGTCATAATGATACACATCACCAGTCAAATTAAATTTCACTTTGAAATGATTTGCATAAAGTTTCACAGGTTTGCCAAGTTTGCCAAAACCAGGACGAGAGGGAAAATGCGTCTGCACGAGCGACGGCACGAGCTGCGGAGTGTCGGATACATGCGTCTTTTCCTCAAGCTGCAACGCAAGTGACTCGACACTGGCGAGAGAAGAAGCAACACTAGACGGCGTTGGAGACGATCCAGATGGTTCGATGGTAGCACTGGATGCGGTAGGAGCAGGGCCTCCACGTCCACGGCCACGACCTCTGGTGCTTTGACCACGTCCCCGTCCGCTGCTACGAGCACGACCAATTACGGGAATGGAATCGTCTTGCTGCTTTTTACTTCGACTTGGCATATTGAAGAATGAGGAAAATGTGGACAATGTGAAGAGATTGATTACCTGTGAAAAATAATACGTGCGACTATAAGGATGTTTTTTGCGACGGTTGGAAACGACAACGTGTTTCTGTACATGGGGAACTATCTTTGATATTGCAATATCAACTTGTCGTACGTACTTGGGAACGAGTTATTGTTTGCAATTATTGTCGTAACTGTCAAAAAACTTCGTAATGAAGTATAAGAGTCACTCCTTCTTGGCAGTGTAGACTTTGTCCAACGAGAAGAGGACATGTGCTTTGTACTTTCTCAACGACTTTTTGTCAAACGGTTATGGGGGTTTACAAAATTGTAGGTACATGGACGCAAAGTACTTGGTGTTTGACGAAACAAAAGCATGTGGAATGTTTGGAAGTGAGAAGATGCTGGACTTGAGCTATGTCTTCTATATGATGGCTTTAATGCCATTACTTGGAAGGATTGTGTGTACTCTGCTCTTACGTTAGGTATGGCTACCAATTTGTCAGTTGGTATGAGGGCTGCTGCCACGTGATTTGTAAGAGATGATGCTACTGTAGTCAGATGACATTGGCGACACCAAATGTAAAATGTTGATGCTCGACGGAGGTATCGGTGACATTGTTGGCCATTAGCGTCATGTTATCGGGCTCAACTTTTTTCTGGTTTTTCGCTATCGTCAAGCGTGCGTACCATTTCGCAGAACGTGTCTCGTGAATAGCATGTAGGTACCAAGATTCCCGATTCTTGAGACAGCCAAGTTGGGAGACAAGGCCGCCGTAATACTAAAATAAAACTTGTTGGCGACCTGACGTTCGTTGGTATAACAAGTCAACCTACACCAGCTTTCGGACCCACTCTTCGTCCAAAACAGTTGCGGTCCAGCATTCATGACGACCTACACGATCTGCTACGGTAGCGACAGCAGCAACCGAAGGTTAAACCACGAGAGATGGCATTATGATAGACGACAATGAATTGGTGCACGCTGGTTGCTAACATATTCTGAGCGACCTAAGCGTAATTTTCATTGACCTGAGGAATGAAGTGTACAAGTAGAGTCGAAGCCACAACGACCTCGAGACACCTGAACGCGCCGCAAGTCCAAGGCATTGGTGCGGCTGCAATTGGAACTTGTGGAGTAGATGGAGAAATGATGGCAGTATATTTCAACCGGCTAGTAGCCAAAGTCTCGCGTTTTGCCTTTCTGGTGACCTCTGCGCTTGCTTTGTTGACAATAAGGACGGACTCATGCACAAGTCTTCAGCCCATCGCCTTCAAGTGTTGAGATACAGGGACAGCAACAGAGATGGAGATGGAGATACACTCATCGGAAAATGATGCACGATCAAGTCGAAAGACTACTGGTGACGATCCAAAGCTCGATACGCCTTTTTCAGCCATTGCAGCGGATACTTCAGCATCGTTTGGACTCCAGAAAGCTCTGAGATCGATCACAGAGCGGCAAGTGAGCTCCGGCTTACAGGATTTATCGACTCTTATGCCATATCTGAAGACTGCAGTCCCCGAAAAACGAGAGAACGAGGTCGCTGCAAAACAGAGGCACTACAGCAACCACTGTTTCACGGCACCTGTGTAGCCAATATACGTTTGCAAATGCTGCTCGTTGTACGACATTTGGATTTAAGTTTGAGAGACTTGACACCACTTGATTTCGTGAGGACTTTGGCAATACCGATCGAGGTTTCTACAGTGTCAGTCTCGATGACATTCATCGTCGAAGTACTGCTGGAGTGTACGACGTTAGCATTTGCATCAAAGCTCAGGGAGTCTTGGTAATGAGTGACTCGACAGGAGATGCAACAGTGCATGTTCAATGCTAGTGAGACGTCCGATACAGCTTCGTATATCGAGGAACAGGCGGCACAGTTGCTGCGTACCGATTAAGCACGAGTGAAAACACCAGCCTTTAACTATGTCATTTAACCATCTTGCTACTCGATAAATCTCGTGTTGTCACGGCATTAACCGTTGCAACCATTCTCTGCTTCATCAACTAAACTCGAAATGGTGACGAGCACAATCTAATAACTGCATAAAGACATTGACACGTATTTTGCTCGCGCATAGAGCTTAAAATTGGTCAAACGCGTCAAAGGCAGCTCTGTCGTCGCCATACAAGACGACAGCGTCGTCAATGGGTGAGTCTGGGTACTCGTCAAAGTGCGTGTGATCACCGGGGCCTCTAACTGGTGGCAAATACGGTGGCGTTTCCGAGCGTGCGAGCACGGCATCCCAGTCCACTTTGGCAAAATATTTATGTTTCTTCACATCCTCGGATCCGCCTCGTAAGCAGCCTAGACGCACAAGAAAAAAACAACAAGAAAAAAGAACGGTGAGTGTTGTGGGTCGTACAAGCGATAAAACAGAGAAATCAAGACGCACCCAGTCGCTTCGTGCGGTCTTGCGAAAGAAGCTTTTTAATGAGGTCCTTTGCCTTGGAGTCTATGTGCTTGGGGAATTCCACCTTTCCGTCAAGGATCTTTTGGTAAATACCAAACGGGTTTTCGTCGTAGAAGGGCGGATACCCGGCCAGCATTTCATAAATGAGTACACCTAGTGCCCACCAATCCACCGATTTGCCATGTCCTTTGCTTTGAATAATCTCCGGTGCGAGGTATTCTGGTGTGCCGCACAATGTCCATGTCTTGTCCTTGACAATCTTGGCAAAGCCAAAGTCAGTGATTTTAAGAGATCCTTCAGATGTGATGAGTAAGTTCTCTGGTTTCAAGTCACGGTAAATAATATGTTGTGCATGAAGATAAGCCATAGCCATGACCAATTGTGATGCATAGTAACAAGCTACTTGATCCTGAAAACGACCTTGACGTCTCAAGTAGGAAAACAATTCACCTCCTTGTACGTACTCCAGTACCAAATACAGTCTCCGTTCATCTTGAAAATGACCGAAATAATTGACAATAAATGGGTGATTGATTCTACTTAAGATCTCGACTTCACATTTGATATGATGAAGTTGTTGTAACCTCAAGATTTCACTCTTTTTCAGTATCTTAAGGGCATGAAAGGATCCCTCTTCTTTCAACTGCACGAGACGAACTCGTCCAAATGTACCGGTACCTAATGTTGCCATTAGTTCAAAATCTTGTAACGAATAGGTACGTCGTATTTCTAGCATTTCCACTGGTACAGCAGGAGAAATCACATCAACTGGTACTTCTTTGCCATTTACTATGGGACCATGAGTCTTTTTCCGAAACATTGAACAAAGAATAAAACGGGTTGAAAAGAATTTGAAGTGAATGGCTTCCACTGATCTTTGACACTTGCTTTTTGAATCAAATAGAGACTGGAGAAGAGCGTAAATGGCTCCAAGACAGAAGCCTCTGTCTGCCTCGAACCTCTTAATGTAGCTCTCCGACGCTTCAGAATTCGAATACGGTTTAGACGGTAGGATACCGGTACAAGTAGAATCAGGTGAGTGTTGGTTTTTTAAGAATGTAAACGGTAGAATACCGGGAGGAAGGCATCGGTATGACGGTAATCGAACCGTCTGATTCCTCGAAAAGAACAAGCCGAGAACGTACCTACGACGTCACAAAATACGTGTCATTCGTAATAGAGGAAACTATTTCACTTGCTAGTTCTGAGAGCGATCTTTGAATTTCCAACGAACGAAATTGTCTGATAACAACAACAAAAAGTCTCTTATCTTTTATACCTTGACATGTAAAATGTACCCATGTAATGCTGCATTACTACATGCAGTCAATGTAATAATGCAGCATTAACATAAGAATGACAATTTCCAGCGTAATGCTGACACACGACGTACATTCAATAACAATCATCGCTCGCTCTCTCTCTCACAACTCGGTGCTGTTGACACTGCATCTGGATTCAACAGGTCCTGCGATGCTGCGATTCTCGTCCGGTAGATTGGAATAGTTGATTAAACGTGGAGAAAAGCGAGTGCTATTGCTGCCATCCGTCTGGTGATAATCAGTGGATAACGTTCGAGTCATACCACGCAGTCCAAGCGCGCTGCAGGCAGTGTTCTCGAAAGGTGACACGTTTGTAGCGGACCAAGCACTGAGCGAGGTATCGCGCGTATTACGCGAGCTCAAGTTTTCTGAATCCGATGCCAACACGGAGCTCCACGAGCAACTGATCTCACTATCGCTTGTCGTGGATGATCCTGCCGAGAACAGTGAAGATATCCGCACATTCCCGGTCTTTACGCCCCCGTTACGATCTAAACCGCTTATGTCGCCGGAATGGTCGGTTACCAGCATACGACCGCGAAGTGATGGCATCTCATCTAAGCTTTCGTCACTTATAGGAGACACACCGTCGGACTGATGCGCCGGTGCCGCAACCGTAAGAGAGGTGTCGTTGTTGCCACTTTCCATAAAAGAGTCGTTCTCCAAGAAGGTCGGCAAGTGCCCGACAATCGAGTGAATTTCCATGTTGTAGCCATTCCGATGGAGACACTCATCATCTTCATCAGTGTCCTTCTTCCGGCTTATCACGGCGATAAGCACCAGGAGTCCAACAATACCGGCAATGACACCAACAATGGCGACGATCGATCCTGTGTCCATGCTGTAAGAAAGAACGGAGCGTGTGTATACGTCCGTCATTCGACCAGGATGAACCATACCTCGGGCAAGGCCACTGCTGTCATCATCATTGCTCCGCGTCGTGTCACTACTAGACTTGTCTTCTAAGTCGCCCTTGGAACAGTTTGTGCTGCACTGTACACTATAATCTTCAGTGATGGTGCTTGCCTCGTTTTTCGTGTTCGCGCCTTGAAATTCGAACGAGTCCGAGCTTTTAGTGTCGGCATCCTTTGACGATTCGTCCAAAGGCACGTCAGCCCTTGTGCTCGCGTGAACCTGCCCCGCAGTATTTGTCCCATCAGTGTCTTCGCCCCCGCTCGCTGGAGATACTGTCCCTGTGTTATTGCTGCTATTTGAAGCTGGCAATGTGGTGGTCTTGTCAGTCTTACCTGCAGAGGTGGTAACTGACGGTGACTCGGCGCTTTCTCCTGGGACGGCTGGTGTTATAAATGGGAGACCGGGTGCCTCTTCTGGATACTTCACGACTGCGCCTGCAGTACTCGATTCAGCTGTAGCAGGTGCATCAGTCTTGACATTATTCAGTGGACTACCTGGTAAGCCATCGCTCCTCTGTATTGTAGGCATCACCACATCATTCTGCTCTGAAGTTTCTGTCGTAGCCGGAATTTTTGCTGGAGTCTCCGTCGAGATGGAGTTCGTTGGAAGCTGTTGCGTTGTCACTGGACTTTGCATTGCCATTGAGCTCCCCAATGTCTGACTCATGACTGTTTTACTACTATCCGTCCATTTCTTCATCACTGATATTGTTTCATCCCTACCTGTCGTCTCTGTTAGAGGTCTCGTTCCCATTGCAACGGCAGCATGTGTGACCCCAGTAGGTGCTATCTTCCCTATCTCTTCCTGCTCTTTTGACTCTATTAATCCATGATCATGCAAGTCTCTGTGCTCCTTCACGTCTATCATGACGGTCTGTGTCATGTTGAAAGTAATAAGATGACGTTCGGTCAATTCGTGAGCTGCACAATGCGCCGCCGCGGCCACGAGCACACCGAGTCCCACTCTTGCGCGTCTTTTTTGCGCCATGACTGTTCCTCGGACCAGCTCCGCCGCAGCGTCGCTACGTAGTTAAAGTACTGCAAGACGTGGACAAATCCGTCCTCTGTCCTGTAAAGCTGTAACTGTCGCTTTGTTAACTGACTATCTACGAAAAAAAATGCAGAAATTAAGTATTACAGACCGTAGGGCGATATATAAACCATAGAGATACGAACGGGAGGCGACGACGAAATAAAGTATTAGAGGGAACAAACTGGCACTAACAAACGACTTGAACGTTTGCTGCAAAACAGTCAAGCTCAAAGTGCTGACAAGTTTTCTACTTCAACATATTCCATGATCTTCTTACTGGATCGATCAGCTTTCAATGGTACAGAGAAAGCAGGTCGATCGGGGTTTGTTGCCTTCATGCGTGAGTACTGGTTTGAATCTCGTCTTCAAGCAATGATGAATCTGGTGATGCACAACTCACGTTCACGCGCAAATCACGGCTTGTGAACAACACTCGGGGATGAATCCAACAAAACTGTAAGGAATACACAATTATTAACATTCACGCGCTCGTCGGCACGCCTGTATCTATTCGCCACCACCTGATGGGATCGGTACTGAAGCCGTAGTCGATGTGGAGTTGCCAAACAACATTGTTAGAAGTTGGCTCTCCTTGTACTCGACGGCATACCGTTCGACAATTTCATCCACCAGCTTTTTCCGCGTTGGGTATGGTCGCACATACAACATTGTCTGCAAACCAACATACGCGCGTTAAACGAGATACTACATCATACAGCAATGATAGAGAGAAGCGACAGAATTCCTTGTCGTACCTGTGAACGACACACTCGGTTAGCGTTCATGGCCGTCTGGCGAACCAGCCGCGCAAGATCAACTTGGTGAATCACCATGCCAGATTGCAGAGGTCCGAAAAGAGGCACTTTATCCTTGGTGTGTATCTTGACCAGGAATAAGCCGCGCTGCGCCTTTCGAAGGGGATAGATTACAATTTGCACGTCGTTGAAGTGGCTTGTAATGGTTGATGGATCATAGCTCTGGTTTGCATTGTCGCTCCAGACAATGTGCACATAGTCATTACCCACATGCCGTTTCTTGTCAATTTGCTGTGGATCTGACGACTTCGTAGGCATCATTGTCACTACGTGATACATCACCTCACTGTGAGAGCTCGCATAATACAGTGTTGTTTTTCCGTTCGACAAGCTTTTCGGGTTTGTATCTAGGCCACCCACAAAACCACGGTGAGTCAGCATATCCACCTTCCAGCCAAGTTGCGACACGAACAGCTCGTAGCCACGGCTACCCTTCTCATTATGAAGAATTTCCTGTTGAGTGTGTTGATTTTTGCCCACATAAATGACACCTATCTTCATGGTTTCACGTGTTGGACTCTTGTCCAAGTGCTTCAACGATCGCTCTAGCTTTGATCCATGCTCAAGCAGCCTAAGCGTCGATTTTTTCTTCGAATCCCCACCGGGAGATGGCAACAGTCCTGCTTGCGACAGAAACAACCGACAAATATCGAGGGCACTCACGCGACGGTCCTTCAGGCTACCATTTGAGAATTCAATCAAGCGCTCGGCTGCTGTCACACCAGGCTTTGTCATCCGCAACAATTGCTCATCCGCATTACGCTTCTGTAAAGCCAAATGGGATACTCGGGCATTAACTTCCGTAATCGAAAATGCGTCGAAAAGAGCGAGTTGGGGTGGGATCGATGGTGTGCTGGGGTTCTTACCGTTACCTGCTGTCGCTGAAGCTGCAGGTGGTTGATCCAGTGCTGCCACGTACTTATCTAACAAGCCCGACTTGCTAAATCCTTCATACTCAACAAATGTCATCGCGCGCTCAAACAGCGAACCAGGGAGGAAGAATGTAGGTTCAGACGACTCTCCCGCAGGTTCTGCTGCCACTGCTCGGAGAGCCGCTTGTGCCTGATGAATTTGGGCTTGAATGTCTGTCGCGACAGCGGTAGGAAAAACAATTTTCTTGCCTCCTTCGACGGTCAAGAATTCCCAGTAGATGGCACAAGCCTGACCCAGGCGGTCGGATGGAACCGATGCGCGTTCGTACTTCTTAACGGCATCACAAAAGTCCACAAGCTCTTTTCCTTCAGCGTTATCGTTCATTGTCAAGAAATTCTTTAGCTGTGAATAGCACTCTTCATCATGAATAAGCCGTTGCAAAAATGAAAATCCAGGAGCTTCAGCCGAGTCCATAAGAAGAGGGCTCGAAGAAGGTGACAAGTCCATCAGGTTGTACCGCATCATCGAATAACGTCCACCAAGTAGGGTCTTGTCAGTCGTATCACCACCACAATCGCGAAACACCATTGGGATACTATCCAGCACAAGATCCAGCAGACATCGTTCGTCGTCCAAACTGCCAACATTCGACTCATTAATCGACATGTCGAAGAGACCACAGATAGTAGTTGTGGTGCGACGCTTGAACTTCGACTCAGTTTGTGGCGGGCAATGACACACTACCTTTTGTACTTCTGGTACAGGCTGTGCAGCACCACCCGTGTTATTGCGTTCCTCGTGCTGCTTTGCAATGCGCTCCAGTCGCTCTTGTCGATCGTCTTTATTTCCCCCTGTCGGCATGTTTTCGATCTCAGATGATCGCGATTTGTCTTTCTTCTTTAGATCGCCGTTTTCTTTGATACCTGCACCTGTGGAAGTGTTTCCGTCTTCATGAAATACATAACTACTCTTGACTGGGCATACATTGTTGGAAAGAACATCTCGCTCATGCTCCCAAGAGACCTGGCGGGCCTCAAGCTTGACGGAACTACGCGCATTCTTCGTGTCAACTGGAGCAACTTTTATCCGAGGCTTTTCTCCACCACATGTTTTGCATGTCCCGCCATCGTCGTCGGTGCGCTTAAATTCCACCTGCACAGCACCAGTAGGTCTGTGCAGCGTCAACGATTTCGTATCCAGCATATCCGTTTCCAGCGTCAGCTCTCTTTCTCCAGGTGCACTATTGCCGTTGGCATTGCTATTTGCAACTGAATCTCCTCCAACCCAGCCCGTTAGGGAATGAGCATCGCGGACCATGACGGCTGGTGTGATCTCCCACGTGAACAGGCCGGTCATGTCTCGTACAATAAACCGCGCGCATGGAGAGTCAAGACTTCCAACAACACTGAACACGATCGAGTCCATGAACACAAAACTCAAGGCACCAGGTGGCGGCTCATTATCGCCACTATCACGCTTAGCATTCAATTCGGACAGCTCGGAGCAATCAGACATCATCTGGTCAACGCCTGCTGGAGACGGGAACCCATTGATATGGTGAAGCAAGTGCATCAATAGTCCCTCTGCAGCTACTGCAGTCTCTTCGAAGCATTTCAACCATGCATGGCCCGGCTCATTGTCAAGCGACGCGCGCATTTGCAAACCCAAAAACAACAAAGGCATCGACATACGCCTTGCAAGTGTACGCGCGCGCTCTACCTCACGCTGCCATTCACCATCGGGCAGTGTGCCCACCAAGGCTGCTTCGATCGCACTAAAAATCAATTTCTTCACATCCGTATCCTGAAGTACCTCGGTTCGATGCATGATCCAGAAACGAAGACACTCAAATATTGCACTGGTTTTCTGTACAATCAGACGAAGAGCCGGAATGTCCTGCTCTCGTTGAGTAGCCAGCAGAGTTGATCGAGCATTGGCAAGGCTATTCGTTATAGGGGAAGGCGCAGATGAAGGGGCACTTTGGACCCCGGATTTCAGCTTGCTTTTCAGCTTGCTGAAAGCATCCGTAGCTTCCCCAGAATTACCAGAACTTGAGCTTTCTCCTCGGTTAGCCCTAAGATTGTCGCTTCCCCGGCGCGCAGCTCCATTAGCTGAAACATTTGCCCCACTCGTTCCAGTAAATGAGGCAGACGTAGTTGTCGAGCTGTCGTTGTCACTTGAGGTATCAGCTGCACCCATGCGCTCCATTGCAGACTGCACTTCAATAGAGGCTTCTTCAACCTGTTGCTGCGCGAACACTGCCAGCGTCATTACAATTCGCGCCACCAAGGACGGCTCAAACGCATTGATCTCCTCGTGATAGTCAGACATGTCCTGCAGAATAGTAAGCGCCGTTGTAGATATAGAGAAATCCACGTTTTGGCATACGTCCACGAGATGGACAATCCACTCCGAGAGATGAATCGGGTCCACTATGTGTTCTCCAGTCTTGTCTGACTTCAAATTCATCACGACAAGGCAATAGAGCCCCCATAGCGCACGTTTCTTAATGTTAACGATATCGGTAAACGGAAGCTGGGCGATTCGAACAAGAATGCGCCCAATGATCACGTGGAAATCATCCAACGTCTCTGGAATTTCTTCGATAATATTTTGCATTAAAGCAAGATCATCATTGCCGCAAACACCCTGAATTTTTTGTTTCCATCGCACAAAATCCTGATTTGGAAATCTCTTAGGCAATTCCAAAATGGCAAAAACAACATCAAGCGCTGCATTGAGCTCATTATTCCATTCCGATGACTTTGCATTCGACTTTGCAGCCCGATTCCAGATGTTGCCAATTATAATTTGATCAACAGCGTACAAATAAGCGGGCACGAGGATGTTGAGGCCTTCGAGATTCATAGAGAACAACACTGATGACTTTTGAATCACAGTAGAAACAACCACTCCTGATGGAGAGGTAATACCCTTAAATAGGACACGTGCAACAACTGTGAGATGACTGCGAGTAATCATGTTAACACAGCGCACGGAGCAGAGCTTGCACAGTGCCACAATGGCAATGCAGCGCGAATTCTGGAAATCTCCAGCATCCAACTCGCATGCAGGCAAGAACCACTCACCGAACAATGCGAGAACCGTGGATGGACTAATTTGCTGCAGTTCCGAAGGCTGGTTACGTCGTGCCCCAATAGCTGATTCAATCCAGAGTTCCACAAGCTGTAACATACCTTCCGTTAAATTTAAATGCATCGATGGCGTCAGGGCCGACACTGTTGGAGGCGGGATAAGATGTAAAACACGGTCCAGTAGCAGCGTTGCATCGACTACATCTACCACTGTCATCATCAAAAAGTTGGCTGACGACTGCAGATATCCCTGCTTTAGCTCCCGCAAGGTTTTTCCGCTCCCTGGTATCTTTTCATTCTTTCCTCCTGCGTCATACTGAGGCAGTAGCAACGCTCCTTCCGGTGTGACTTTCAGGTACGAGTACCCTTTGTCCATGACATACATGAGCAAACAACTCGTGAACCTAAGCTCACGCTTCCAACAGTTAATCATTTCGGCCCCCACGGCTTTCGAGTCTGCAGGATTGGCAATCCACCGCCGAATGGCAACAGTTAGTTCCATCCAGACTTGTGCACCTATAGCCTTCGTAACTACTGCAGAGTGCATCCAAACATGCAACACAATTGACAGCATTGCAGTGAGCACCGGGCGGTTTCCTGGATCGCGTAGCATGATACAGTTATCAACTGTCGATAGCACAAATTTGCGCAGGTAGGTGGACGTGTAATCATCAAGTCGCCGCTGGGATACGAGTTCCAATAGCTCGATACAATGCAGCAAAATCTTGGAATCTTCTAGCTGCACGGATGGATGGAAAAGTTGTGAGACGTGTGAGATCATGGCGCGAGAGACCTCATTCATTTGTGTCTTCATACCCGACGGAACATGCTGTGTTCCAGTACAAATACCAGAGTAGAACTTAATGGCATCCCCCACCAGCTCTGTATCTCGGTACGCAAAACGCTGACGAATCGTTTCCATGACAACCTCGGAAAACTCACGTCGTGACCACAATACTTCCATATACTCTTCCTTCGACCGTAGTTTGTACACCCATCGTGCAACAACTCGTTGAAAACTGCCTGGACAATGATGATAAAATCCCAACGTATCTCCTTCTTCTTTCAATTTCACCTTTAAACATACTTTGGGGTATAACAATGGCATATAAAACTTCATAATCAGTTCTGCCCAGAAAATAAATCGATCACTATTGCCACTCGAGACTTTTCCTGCTGGAGCCAAAGGTGCTAGTTTTCCATGCAAATCGTCTCTCTCCAAGCTCAAATCCATTAAAAACTTGAGCATATCGACTGGTTCCTCTGCTTGTGTAGGCATCGGTCGCATCCACCCTTCAACATGAACACCTTCATTTAAAAACTTATCGGGCAGCATAATACTGCCTCCACCATACGGTGAAAAGTCGACACTTTCACGTAATAATTCCAAATGCGTATTTTTTTTATTCGGCATCACATGAGCCAATGCCGCCGTTTCTTCATCCTCTTGATCAATCTCAATTTCAATGCCATCACTTAAAAGTCGAATACTTCCTGCCCTTGACGCTTGAAAACTCAACGTACTTGTTGATGGCATAGCAGCCAATTGTGGTAAATTTCGAGTAGCATCCGTATACAATGCAAGGCATCGAAATGCATATTTTTTAATCATCGCATGATTATCCCGTTTGAGCAACTTAGCAAATAGGACGGTGAGGCCATTGTTATTCCAACCTTCGCGCAACCGCATGGCATTGTTCCGTAATAAAACCTCTAATCCTTCAAAAACCTCACTCCAATCTTCCGCTTCAAGAGGTTTACGACGTTGTTTCCGAAATGCTGTTTCATGGGGTGCGTATAAAGTCTCTAAATCTGTGATACAATCACTCACGACTCCAAATACAAGCGCGCTATTGGTCATTTCGGCCCAAAATTCCGCCACGGCCGCTGCGTGTTCCATGCCGGCATTATTGGTCCCACTATGACTCTCTTTTGAGGATGTACCTGATAATAAGGACTGCATGGCGACGGCAATATTACCTCCTGAGCCAGAACCTTCGGATCCCGGTGGATGTTTCAGAAAATCCAATAAAGTACGAAGTCGTTTACGGGGTGGTCGATCCGGTGCATAGAATTTTGCTAGACGCTTGAGTTCCGCGGATGTCGCTTCTTTTCGTGGCGCTTTAGCGTCCATAACGCGCTTGGACGAGTCCATGGTGGTTCTGGTATTGCACTACACTTGAGTTGAGTATGGGGAGAAGGAATGTGTGTAGGAATGTTGCGCGAAGAAACAAGAGGGGAGGCGTAGGCACAAGGGGATAAATGAGAATTATTCATATAAAATCGAATCAGATGGGTGGATATTTTGTAAAGGCGCTTTATGAAGTAGCTATTGTAGGTCGTTTGATTACTTTTACTTAATGACGCGTGCGTTAGAAAGGTCCAAAGACAAAACGTGTATGCATGTGATCTAATAAAGTGACACTTTGGGCATGTTATAGCTTTAGGATTTTTAGACGTCTCTAGGGATCGACACACCGAAAATTAGTAGATGATCTTGTAAACTTGATGACGACTGCCAAGAATTGTTGCTCTTTCGTTGGTTTTGATCCGAATATAACGTCCTTCCGTGCCGTAGCCACTGAGACTCAAAGTTACTAGCTTTCAAACACGTTGTTGAGGCTTCGGCACGCACTTGTTGAATTCAACCTCGCCTAAATATGCCAGGTCTTGCTGCTTTATACCTACTCGGACAGGTCATGGTCCTACATCAGTTGTTCTTCACAGGTCGATCAATTTATCACGCAGCCGGTTGTATGAACACCGTCTTCTTGGTCCAGGGTAGGAAGAAATCACTGCTCTTAGAGGGAGACTATTCAAATGTTTAGGTTGCAGTGTTTCTAAGCTTGGTTAGCAACGCCGGTGCTCGATCGAGTCCGGTGATTGTACGGTGCTGGCCACCTGCGGTGACGCTTTCGGGATTGTTCGGCTATGCTGATGCAGCATAGCAGTAGACGTGTACCGCTGTTTATGTCCTTCGAGCGGCCCGTTTGTCAGAAGTGCGCGGTCACCGGAGCGACGGCGCATGTTGTGGGGTGTAGCCTCCTTTATGACCGCTTGCGCGGTCCGTCGAGCTGTCTTGTGCGATTGCCGAAGCGATGACGCGTGGCGCGGGACACCACCAGCTGAAGTATCTTCCCTTAAACTGCTGTCCGCACGACTGTTGGCCGCGCGAGATGCATGCCCGAGACATAAATCCCACCCATTTCATCTCCTGGGCTGAGGATTCGACTGGCTTAAGCTTGACCAAGCCGTGAAAATTTGGGAAGCTATACCCGGAATGAGTTACACTGACGAGAGCAACAAGTACGTAATCAGAGGAACTAATATAGATAAGGCCGTACAAGGGTCGTATTGGGACGTTCATAGAACACCGAGCAACTAGCAACTGCGTATAGAGCTCCTCGAATCGCGCTGATAAGCTTGCAAAACCAAGTCAAATCGTGTGAGCAGGAACAAAATTCAGTTTCTTCTTTGTCTGGTGGCGCTGGTGACGCGCGTTCTGCCTCCGTCACAACGCCCTCTATCACCGCTGGATTTGGAGCTCTAATGCCAGTGCTTATCAAGTTCTGCTGCTCTTGGCAACTACGACCCGAGAAACATCGTTTGACGAGAAAAATGGGTCGCCGGCTTATTGCAGTTGATGTTCAGCCCCCCCCCCCCCCACTTGTCAATTGAGCGTACGAATTACGTTGTCAACGCCTTCAATAACCTTATAGGTGTCCAGCCCAAACGCGTGTCAGATTGAACAATAGGATACGTAAAAGATCATCTTCCCGAAATGCAATGACAACACACATGCTATGCTGCAGCTGTAGATGGAAAATGCGATCGACAAGCAACCAACACAGATCCGCTCCTTGCTATCATATGATACCACCAGGTGCGCTGTCTAAGCAACGATATTTAAGCATCTATCAGACTACGAAGACAAAGTACTGCTTTAGACGAGTAATTCGCTCACTTGAGATGATCATGCAACGCGTGAAACAGAGGAGCACAGAAATTGTGCTGAGTTTGTGAGAGTACAGTCATTACATGAAGGGGTCGCCATTTCGGATATACAAATATCCTACTACACTTGTAGGACGATAGATGTAAAAAGGGGAAAACAGGAAGTTTGTCAGTGAATGCAATTTCTTCGTGTCCAGTCAGAACGACAAGTTCTATGATTTTCGTGATAGACTTGGATCTTGCTATCTCAAAATCTGCAACAAGTTGGACCGTAATTGGCAGGTTCCCTAACGGCATGCATTTAGAGGATGAGCTTGACTGGATGAGCCTAGCCTTTTCTCGAAGTACGATACAGCATCGCTACTTTTTGCCTCAACTCTCCACTGATAATTTTGAAATCGAAAAATCCTGTAGCCTGGTGCGTGAAGAAGCCACATTGAGCCATAGCCAACTTTGAACAGTCCAAATTGCGCGAAGAATGTGCTGTATGTTACTTGATCAATGCTGACCATATCACTAGTCCACGAAACGTGAATGTTAAATCTCAATTGTGTGCTAAATGATTCTTGTTCAAGATATATTTGTCGAACCAATAAAGCAATCATAAATGTAGAGATAAGGAGCCGTGAATGTGACCAAGGCTTGCCATTGGGTACGCAGATATCTCGCTCGTCATCTACGTGTAATACTCCTTGAAACCCGTGCTTGTGGACTGAAACGTTATGACCGACCTCTCGAAGGGGAGCCGAGAGTTGAATAGTATTTCCAGATACTTACCAAGGCTGTCCGACTTGGAGCAAGTACTAATGTGTGGCCTAGATCGCTTGAGCGCAGCTCGAGTAACGCGGACAGATATCTCAGGTGGTTCATCTAGCCATGATATTGAGCTAAATTAAACGCTTGCAGTCTGAGTATCGGAGCCGCTTTGTGTTGTTACAAAAGTGCCAACAAACTATTGCTTTGCACGACATAAATGGACATGGTGGGGTATAACCCTCCGTACGAACTAGTACATACTCAATCTCCATACTCTCATTATCTTACGACTTTATAATCACTGCACAAGGTTTATGAACATACTGCCCTTTTCACTGGGTCTCAACAGATAGGCCACGCATCTTCATTGAATTCGCATGGCAGTGACGAGTTGCTAAAAACACGCGTATCAGACTTGCAATATTTCCTGCTGCTTCTGCATCTGAAAGAGTCGGCTGGGCGAGACATCCTTGGAATAATCCTCCTCGTCACTACATCCCGACATGAAAGACGTGACTGAGGTGCGGGTGCTCTGGTCTGAGCTGCATTCGGACAGTGCCATCATCAGTTCGGGCAGCTGGGCATTGTCGCCTACTATAAATGTAGCAAAAGCGCGAGAGACGCTGTGCACCAGCACGTTGCAACGTTGGTTGCCTCTGTTGACCAATGACGCCTGAAGCGTCCGTAGTAGTCGAGTAAGAGATTGTCGTCTCGCCTCCACTACACGAGACGAGTAGATGGGCAGCAAATTGGGCTTGGGGAAGTGGTTCTTGATCACCGTGTAGAGCCATTTGCACTCAGCAGGGCACGCATGACCACTCTGCAGGTTCTGCAGCAGCTGTTTGCGGAAGCGACGGTAGGCGTCAAACGGTCTACTGACAGTCCAGACGAGCTCAGGGTCCTGGCAGCATGGCAGTGTGTAGGTGGCTTGCACTTGGTACTGCACTTTCGATAACTTTCCGTTGGCGTTGGTACTGGTGATATTGAGGTGAAGGTGCTCCAGCCAAGCAGTAGACTGGGATAGGTCTGCTGAAAAGGATGCGCGCTTGCGATAATGGCCTGAGAAATTGGTCATAGGCGTGGTGTATGTTGATGTGATCGTCATGGCCATTGTTAGAAATAGATCCGACTTTGAGGAAGCAAAATAGACAATGAAGTCGGGTGAGCGTTCGATTGAATGACGTTCTTCACCCGACTTCGGACGTCTTCATTTACTAATCAAGTTCTATTAGTGCTTTGGGTACCGATAAACTCATTCTAAAATTAAATGGCGTGTTAAATTACTTGCTGCGCTCCTCTGCGCAGTTTTCCTTGAACCCTCTGAAAAGAAACCAACTGACAGCTGGTTGGCCACCCAAGAGCGGTTGTTGATAAACGTTTTTCGGGTTTTACCATAATGGGTGTCGGATCAGGACAGCGGCCAATTGAAGGCAGGAATTGGAATTTTGTGCGATGTGTTGAAGTGCTAGAAAACTTTCACTTTCGGCGGGTTTGTTGTTTGGCTTTCTGTTGGCTACGGATGATTTAAGGTCGGTCGATTATTGATTGCGAATGATAAAGAAATACCACAACTTGTCACCTGAATTTATTCCTCTTGAGCCTTTCAAGTGTACGCAAGCACGCTACATCGTAGTCATTGAGCACCTGGAAAACGCAGCTACTTCTCAGTGTGGAGTTGAGTCTAAAAGTCTGATGATTACATGACTCGACGGTAGACTGTACAAAACAGGTTCCACCCAACCCAACAATGATCCGCGTACGGTTTTCAATTCTACCACTGTACATGTATCCGTACTTTTGTTCATAGCGTCACTCAAGTAGGTCGAAGTGGTACGTTTTCTAGTCGCGGAATATCTCCGGCATCTTATAAGAAAGTTGTATCATACGACTCGACCGCCAGGTAGATGACGTGGAGATTTATGCGCACAACGGATATCTACTTGAGGTACGGTACGGGTTACGGCTGGGACGTCACATCATCATGTTTGAAATATTTCTTTTCATTGCAACGAAGTAAGAAGCTCTGGGTATTTCTACATGTATTTTGATTAATGACAGCTATAACCCCATTCAGCTCGACTACACTCTACATCCTACTAAAGCTTGTCAGCAAATAATCTCTCCTCGATCTTTAGTTTATATGGCATCGAAAGAACATTTACTTGGTGTAAGGAAATAGATCCATAAAGAGCATGAGGTAAAATTGTTTGCACATATCGCAAGCGACGTCATCACCTACAAGTAGAAAGTCAGAGTGGCATCTCGAACGCGTGGCACTACACCCGCCGTCACCAAAAAAATCGGCTACTCGGTCCTTTGTTGCAGGTCTAGTTGACGCTAGCAAACGTAATAAACTCCACTTACGGTGCCTATATGGCCAAATACAGTCTTGCCCTGTATTTGGTGCATTTGAAGACACAGCGGTGGCGTCGTGGGTGAACTGGC